TATTTTTGTTGCGCGCCGCGTCTGACTTCTGCGAATGAAAGAAACAGCGAGTTTGCCAGTGTGTCGGGTTTTCTGCGAACGCAGTGGGGCTGGCCGGGCCGTCGCGGCGCGGTATGGTAAATGGCGCGGGATTTGTGGAGAGCCGCTGGCCTCGGCGGCCTCGCGATGCATTATAATTCGAAGGCTGTCGCGGGCTTCTAGTCCTCCATGCGGGCCTGGCCGGCCTGGTCCGCAGCCCATGAGAGAGACGCGGCTAGGAGCGCGCACCGAGAATGAAAGAGTCACGATCATGACTAAAAGTTTGGGTCAAACCAATAAATGTGTTAAAATTCGATTCTGTTTCCCAACTAAGTTGTGGGGGCGCTGGCCGTGTCCGAGACGCAGACACCTGGAGTTAAGGAGGCACTGCGCGGAGGCGTCGGAGGGAATGGGCTGTAATCCCACACAGTCCTGCTGCATTATCGGCAGTCTTCCGTGTACGAAACCGCTTGCGCAAAGCGGGGCGCCAAGCGGGGCCAGCAGAGTCCCTATTCCCTCGCGGACCCGCGGACGGTGAGCGGCATGGGAACGTCGGGGATCAGGGTCCCGTTGGCGTGGCTCGGCGCCGCGGCCCGCCCGGCGCCAGGCTAGCTCGTCCACCACAAACGTGGCCAAATAGTGCACGGGAAAAACAGGCGTCGTTAGGAAGGGTCCGGCTGACGAGCTCTGCGCTCTGACAACACGGACGCTGCAATGCGTGCTGACTCGGCGTTGTGCAAGGCGCGGTGTTTGGGGACGCCATGCCGTGCCGCCCCGCGCCTGGACCTGACGCGGACGCCGCGGACGCAACGCGAGTGCTCTATGTACACCTCCTCAATCACCGCGTAGGCCAGTCTGGTCTTTAGCCACTGACGACCTGTGAGGCACGTACATTTCAAGCGTACTTGGATTCCACTTCGGCTGGCGTGACAGCTGGCCCAGTCAGAGCTCACCGTGGAGAAACTCCGCACTTGAAACGCGGAGGTGAGGAATCAACTGCGAGAGCTGGGCGATTCGTTTTCGAGTCCCGAACGCCCGTTTCACACCTTGGCGGCGCCCTTACGCCCTTCCGCCCCCTCCCCTTCCTTCCTGCCCCCCGCGTGTGGCCGCGGCGGGCCGACGCCCCTCCCCTCCCCTCCCCTCCCCTCCCCTCCCCTCCCTCCCCGCCACGCGGCTTTATTCGACTCGGCATGTCATTAGGGTTGCATCAGCGGCGAGGCTTTTTAGCACGTTGTCGCTGTGCTAGTTTGCCAGCCATATGTGGTTTTTGTAGCGGGCGGCTCTCTTCTCCTCCTCGCGGTGCCGCGGCGCCCCGCGTGGCGGCGTGCGGACAGGGCAGTGACGGGGACGGCGGCACGGCGAGCGCGTCCTTGGCGAGGATGGCACGGGGGTGCTGCAGCATGCTGTTACCTCTGCGACTGCGGTCTCCAAGGGGCCTGGGCGCCATAATTCGCGAGGCACTGGTAAAACGGAGCCCTCTCGCTGCCAGCGCACTGTAAAAGCAGCGCCACGTTCGGCCTCGCTTTTAACAGTGAGTCCCCTGTTTTTAGGGCTGTCTTAGCTAAAAGCGTCTTCAGCGCTGGCTTTCTTACAGCCCCTCAACCGAACCGGTCGCCTCCAGTTCACTGCGTGCTGACGGCGAGGTGCTCTTGGCGTTTTGCGAGCCGCGCGCCGCGCACCGTCGCCGGGGAGTCCGTCGAGACCCACATCGCGGAGAGCTTTGTTGGAAGGCGGCGATCACGGCTCCCGTTGTGACAGCCGTTCGGAATGGCCAGCGAGTGACCGCCCCGCCGACGGGACGAGTTTGACGGCGCGCTTTGCACCTGCCGCGCTTGGCCGCGCACCCCGCGGGCGTGTTCGCGTTGCAGCGCCGCCGAGTGGCGCGCCGCGCGGTCACTTTCTGGTCGTTTTGCGAGGCGGGTACGTGCGCACCGACGGCACCGACGGCACCGACACACGACACGCGTGTGGAGCGCGCTGTCACCGCCGCCGCGCCGCCAACGGAGCCGTATGGCGGTGCACTGTAGTGGGCGGCAGTGAAAGTGCGTGTCGTGCGCGACTGTACGCGGCGCGGGAGAGCTGCGCCTTGTTTGAAAAATGTTCCGCGCCGCGAAGGGTGTCGAACGAGGGCCTCCCTTGCGGTGGTGTGCCGTGCCGTTCGTTCCGCGTGTCGGGTGGACTAATTAGCTGACGAGGAGGATGAGCAGCAGAGATTTCGGGGCCCGGCCGGCCTTGCGGCCTTGCTGTCGGACTCTGTCTCTCCCTCTCTCGTCCGGGTTTGTTTTCACCGGTCGGATCGAAAGTGACATAAAGAGCGTTTCGGCTTGGCGCCGCGGGCCGCGGGGGCGTGAGGCGGAATAACGCGCCGAGCCGGTTCCGAACAGTGCTCTGTCTCTCTCGCACACCCGCGGGACGCCCCAGGGGCACACAGGGGTGCGAGAGAGACGGGAGGGAAGTGTTTGGGTGGCTACACTGCTTCCTCGCGCGGGGCGTGACGGTGCAGGGCGTGGTGGCGATGTGGGGCAGCCCGGACGGTGCGTGTCACGGCACTGCGCGGTGCGCCCGGCTGCCGGGCACGCACTCACTCAACCCGCCGATGGCATGGGATGCTTGTTGCAGTGTGCTGGCTCCGAACTCTGCTCTCGTCGCTCCGTCACCCTCGCACCGCGACGGTACGGCCCGCGAGTGCGAGGAAAGCGCCGTTTCGGAATCGACCTGCTGAGAAACGAGCGGAGGAGCCGACAAAAAAAAATGTAGTGCCGGCGAGTCGTGATTGGCGTGGCTGCCGCCGTGGCGCTGCCGTCGTCGCCCTAATGACGTGTTGTTGTAACAAGTTGCGTTTTGAACCGCCGCCCGGACAATGGCCGCGCGCCGGCCGCTCTTTCGCGCCGGGTGGCGGATTTTGGCGGCGCCGCGGTGGCGTGGCGGTGGCGTGGCGCCTGGGGTGACACAGTGACACGGGGGTCGCGCAGTGTGGCAATGCGTCGGCCGGTGTGTCTGTTTCCCATCACCGTTGCCTCTCCCACGCCCCGGGCGGTGCTGCCGGCGGTGGCACTGCCACTGGAGCCCCCCGCCGAGCTCCCCGACGGCGTCCCGCTGCAGGCGCCGCCGCCGCGCCGCGCGGAAGTGCACGCGGATGCCGGCGTCCGGTTCGACGGCGACATTGACCCAGGCCGTCGAGACCCCCGGCAGCGCGGAGAGCAGTCAGTGTCAGGGCCCGGCCGCCGCCGGGGCCGCGGCCGCGGCCGCGCAGGAACTCCCGCGGAACTCTCTCCCCATCGCTCGAATCTAAAAAGAGAAAAGTGCGAAAAAACAGCGGGGCTGCCGAAAAAAGATAAGACTGAAACCGGCCGTGAGTGTGGCAGCACACTGTACGAGGCGCTGTCAGTCACGGCCGCTGAAGGCTCCCACATATAAATAGGCGGTCGACCGCGGTGGGATGATCGCCGTGCCTGTGGCCTGTGGCTGCCTGTGGTCGCCTCGGACCACCGCGGAGCCCCGCGCCCGCCCCGCGCCCCGCGAGCGACGCGACATTGAGCTGTCCGGCCGGGGTGCCCTGCCCTGCCCTGCCTCGCGGACTGATTCCGAACAGTGGCAGCTTCGTCGTTGGGTCGCCGCGTGAGTGCGAGAGAGACAGGCGGCACTTCTCGGACTCTCTGGCTGGCCCGCTGGACGCCAGCCGAGCGTGGCCGCGGTGCCGCTGACCCTGCGGGGTGAAAGGTCAATCTCATTTCGCCTTCTAGTAGAGTCTGCGGAGAGGCTCGACCCGACATGATTTGTTTTGAAACAGGAGGGCAAGCCGTTTCATTACTTTTTAATCATTTTTTTTTTTCGGTGTGCACCGTGGCCTGTCGCGTCGTTTTGGCGGCGAGGCGGGCTAACCCACTTACCCGGGGGACGCCTCGGCGCGCCTCTGCCCGCAGTTGGCCGCCGCCGCCGTCGACGTGGACGCTCCCGACGCTCCGGCCGGCCGCTGGCACGGCGCTGGAATGTCGTCGGGGAGGTTGAGGCGCCCTCCTTGCCCTGGCCGGCCTGCCCGGCCTGCCCGGCCTCCGCGGTGTCGTCACCCACCGCGTCATGTAGGTTATCGGGTTTACAGTTGTTGCCGCGGATAATTACCCGCCGCTTTGCCTTGCTGAGTGATCGCGTTAGAACGGGACGCCCTCTGCAGGCCGTGCCCAGCAGTCGCTCTCCCGTCTCTCTCGCGCTCGCTGGGCGCCCCGCGGGGTGCGAGAGAGACGGGGAGCGGCCTGGTGAACGGGACGAGGCGCCGCGCGTCGTTGTGCCGGTGGGGGTGCAGCCTGCTCCTCGCCCCGGTGCGCTCAGCGCGGCGCGGCGCGGGGCCGCAATCTCCCCCGCCGATCGCGGCAGCGCGGCCTGGTGATGGTGATAATGATGATGGTGATAATGGTGGCGATGGCCGTGTTCCTGCAGTGCCATGATTGAGCACGCGTGTGGATTGCCACCGCGTTGCGCTGTCGGGTTGCCAAACTGCGTCCTCACACTCGGCGACGCCCGCCCGCCCGCCAGCCCGTTGCGTTTGCCGGCGGCTGGCTTGTTTGGGCGCCTCTGCGGCGTTCGCGCCTCCTCGACGGCCACCGTCAACGCGAACCTCCCCGGCGGCCCGGGGCGCGGCCACGGGCTGTGGGTCGCCGCCTCGCCTTGCCTCGCCGCGCCGCGGGTTTGCGTCAGGACGCATGCGGGCGAATGGGTGCAGGGCCTTGGCCTCGGCCAGGGCACCCCGTGCCCATTGCGCGCCCTCTGGTTGGCCAACTACGTGTCCTGCTGGGCCTGCACTGCATTGTCGACTTCGATGCCTTTGTATCCTCTGACGGCTGTGTGTAAATGCTGTTTCAAAGTGGTCGGCTCAAGCGTGTGTGTATTGGCCCCCCAGGCCAGCGCGGCGCCTGGCCCGGTCCCACGTCGTCGTTGCTTGTTTTTTGTTCTCTTAATAACACCAATTTCTTGTTCATTCCCGGCAGACTTTTGGAGGCCTCTAGTCCGGTGCTGACTGCTATAAGGTAGTTAGGGTGGAGTGGATGACTGTTCGACGGCGACGGCGGCAACAACCAAATAAAACATGAAAAAGGAGGTGAGGGAGTCGAGTTTGACTTTTTATTTATTTTTCATCTTTTTTTTTATTGGCCGCGGTTTTGCACGAGTTTGTTTTACGCATCACCCACACCATCACCATCATCACCACCATCGAGCTTGATGTATTTCGCCCATGTGTTGGTCGTGTGTGTAGGGCACCTTACGTGCCGCGTATCTGTGTGTGGTGTGTGAGTGTGTGTGGTGTGTAGTAGTCGTTTTGCCATTTTCTTCCTGTTGTGCCTGTCCATTTGAAGATTTTATCTTTGCATGCTAGTGTGACTTCTCTTTTTTTAACGTTTTCTTTTATTTTTCTGCTAATTTTGTTATTCCGTGGAATGGCCTTTTGTTCGTCGACTGTGGCGCTTCTGGACGTTTTAAAGCCAGAGAATGTGTCCCGCGGGGCGGAAGCTGCGCGCTGCGCGTTTCGCATTGTAGGGGCGCCGAGTGGCCGCGGCGTTAGCGTTCTCGGCCGGCCTTGCCTGGCGTGTGGCAACGCGAACGCAGAGAAGATGCATTCCCCGTGCCAAGTGGCCAGGCCGGCCAGCCGCAAGCCTTTTCTTTTCTTTTATCAAATTTGGCGCTGCTCTCTCGGCTGGCCCACTTCCCGCCCGCCGACGCGCTGTGGCTGCCTGCTCGGTCTGCTCGGCCGCCTGCCTGCTCGGGACGCCGCCACCTGCAGACGCCGATTCCGAACAGTGTGTCTCTCTCGCGCCCCCGCGGGACGCACAGTGGGCCAGCAGACCGGCGCAGCGGCCAAAACTCTAGACGCGTTTTGAGCTCCAGAGTCGCTGAATACGACTCGAAACTTTCGTGTGACCCCACCAATGGATTGCTCTCCGAACGAGCAATCCATTGGTGGGGTCACACGTTCGGTTCGAGTGCTGTTTAGCGACTCTGGAGCTCAAAACGCGTCTAGAGTTTTGGCCGCTGCGCCGGTCTTCTGGCCCACTGTGGGAGTGCGAGAGAGGCGGGGCGTCGAGACCACTGCTGGGAATGTGGCCGGCTGGGAGGATGGACGACGGCGTGGATCGCGGTGCGTCGCCAGAGAGACGACGACACTGCAGCCGGCCGCGCCGGTCGAAGGTCAGCATGCCGATGGCCGGACAGCGCAGCACGTGGCGAAAGTGGCGGAGTCCTGCGGCTCCGCGCATAAGGCCATCTCCGTGGTCAATCACACCGCGCTGCCTCCCTGTCTCTCTCGCACTCGCGGGGCGCCGCTTGGAGTGCGAGAGAGACGGAAGCACTGTTGTTGGGAGGCCGCCGGCGGCCCGCACCTGCTGCCGCTGGCGGGGCGCGGACCAGCAAACTGATTCAGAGAGTCGTCTATCTCTCTCGCACCTACACGGCATGCCCGTGAAGACGAGAGAGACAGAGCGACGAAAACGACTCTCTGAATCAGTCTGCTGGCCAACAGACCAACGCATGCTCGGCGAAAGTGGTGGCGGTGGCTTTTCGGCCGCCAAGGCCGCGCGATGCAGTGCGCGGTGCAGTGCGCCTGGCAGCGCTGCCAGCGGTATCGCACTCGACCCTCAGTCTGCCGCCGCGGGTTCAACCACCGCCGGCGCCGAGCGGTTTGTGTTGATGGCGACGGCTTGCCGGCTTGGCGCCACTCTAGCTGGAATCCGAACTTGACGGGGTGCTCCAGGACCGGGACAAATGAGGCTGTCGCCGCGCGAGGAATGTGTCCAGACAGAATATCCACGACGAGGGTGACGGCGGGCCGCGCGCCGCGCAACGGGACGGCTGCTGCCGGCTGATTCCAAGCAGTGTTCGCCGCTGTCTCTCTCGCACTCGTGGGGCGTCCCGCGGGAGTGCGGGAGAGACAGAGCATCTGGCTACAGGGACGCTGCGCAGAGTGATGCCACGCAGTGCGGCCGTCGGTCCATCTCTCTCGCACTCCTACGGGAGTCTCCATGAGTGAGAGAGAGAGGGAGAGTGGGTCCCCCGCGGCGTCCCGGCGTGCGTCCGTGCGTCGCGTCGTTCGCCGGACGGAACCAGCGAGGAGCCAATGAGGTTCCGATAATGAGACGGGCGGCTGCCGGCTGTCCGGCCGTCCCCGCCTCGGTCCGCGTCCTCGGCCATTGTTGCCGGCGACCCTGGACAAGTCGTCGCTGCATCGGGAAGGAAGCAAGTCCACGCACGCGACTCTTCCGGACAACGCTCGCTTGTTCGCTCGCGCACTGGCTATCGCGCGCGGGAAAGTGGTTGGCGCCGCGGGTTCGAATCCCGCCGCCGGCCGGCCGCCCGCCCCCCCCCTCTTTTTACGGTGCACGTAATGCGCGCGCTGCGGTGTGGTGATGAGCACTATGGCAGTGCGGCCCTTTGCATAACCGTGTTTGCCGTGTGAGTGGCCGGCGGCATTGTGTCAGCCGAGGAGGAGGCTGCAGGCCTCGCCGCTGTCTCTCTCGCGCTCATTGGGCGGTCCCTTCGGGTGCGAGAGAGACAGATCGACGAGACTCAGTGGAGTAACTCGGCATGGAGATGGAGGCCAGCTGGACCGACCGCCGACCGGATATAGGTCCGTTTTAAGTCATCTAGCGCCCGAAACGTGTCCAGGTCCCCGAAGTGCAGCAGCCGCCTGCGGGACTCAGGGCGGGCCGCCCCGCCGACCAGCGCAGCGCGGCGGGCTAGCCTACGCCGCATTACCATTAAGGGCTAGACCACGCGCTCGCAGCCGACACAGTGGTTCGTCCCAGCCTCTGTCTCTGTCGCACCCTTCCGGAGCGCCCCGTGAGTGCGACAGAGACAGAGCGACGCGCGCTCGCTGCCGCCGTCCAAGCACGGCGTCGTCTTCCCCGCCATTGTCGCGGCCATTGTAGTGGCGTCCTCATTTCCGGCTCCACTTCCGGCCGATCGGCGGCCTGGCCGTTGACGCCTGGCGCCTCGCTCGCGCGGCCGTATCGTTAGCGAGTGACGTCTGTCCGTGGGCGGCCGCGGCGGTTTGGACGGCCCAGGCGCCTCCCGGGGAAATGAATCAATTTGGAGCGCTTTTTGCCGGGGAAGCGACGACACGTGCCCCGGTGTGTGCGTGTGTGTACGTGTGTGTGGCGGTGCCACGTTGCGTCAAGTGGAACACGCGGTGGAACACACCAACACACGCGGGTATCACTCACACACGCCCGTCGAATCGAACGTAACGGTGACTGGGGCGGGGCGGGGCGGGGCGGGGGCGTTGCCTCGTTAGGCGGCGCGTTGCGTTCCGATGCAGGAGCACGGCTTGCTTTGGCACGTCGGCGGCGGCGGCGCGTCTGCCGTCCATTCCAGGACCGGCAGAGTGATTCCGAAACGCGCTCTGGTCGCTCCGTCTTTCTCGCACTCGTGGGGCGGTCCGGAGGGGTGCGAGAGAGACAGCGTCGGTCCGCCGGCGCGCGTCGCGGTCGCGAAGCGGTGCGGCGGCGGCATGGGCGAGGCGAGGCGCGGCGCCTCCGCGGCACTCCGCGGACCGTGCGCTGTTCTGTTCGCTGATTCCGGACGCCAGTGCTTTTCGTCGCTCCGTCTCTCTCTCTCTCGCCACCACGCCCCGCGAGCGCGAGAGAGACAGCGCGATGAAGCCCGCTCGGAAGCGCCCTTGCAGTGCACCTCGCTATCTCCGCCGCAATTAAACTGCTCGTCTCGCCGAGGGCTGCCGAGGGCCCAACTGCCGCGGATCACATTAGCATGCGGAAGCGGTCCGCGCATGCCCGCGGTTCCGGACTGCGCTTTCGTCCCGCTGTCTCTCTCGCCCCACGCGGCGTCTCGCGAGGGTGCGACAGAGAGCGCTGCTCGAGGGGCGGCCGGCCACTATGCTCACCGCGGGGCGCCTCCCCGCGCACCGCGCACCGCGGCCCTTGGTGCGGCGGCAAAGCGGCGAGCGGAGTGGCCGACGACTTTCATCGGGGTGGCGGACGCCGACGTGCTTGAGGTGGACGACGCCGACGTGCTCGTTGAGCGGGAGGACGTCGCCGACGACCTGCTCGACGTCGCCGACGCTGGCGGCCCGCGCCGTCATCGTCGTCGCGGTGGCCCCCGTGACATAATCCATCGCGACGACGCCGAGGGCCTTGGAGGGGGCGGCCGGCTGTCGGCGGCCGGGCCGGGCCGCGGCGCGTGAGGCAGGCTGGCGCGGTGCTGCTGACCGTTTGTGGAATGTTTCGACATTCTTTGCGGTGATCCTGGTCTGGGGCGATTCGTGTTGCAATTTGTCGGCTGCGTGCGCGGTGCGTGCGCGGTGCGGCCCGGCCGGCCGGCGGCGGTGGCGGCCCTCGGGACGGTGTATGTGTCTGTGTGCGTGTGTCGCCGGCGGGGGGGTCACTGGGTGCAGGGCCGCTGGGCCGCTGCGTTGCTGCGTTGCCCCTTCCCGTTTTGGCGCTGCGTAACGTGGAGGGGCGGCGATAAAAAGTGTCCCCGCCCCGCGGCCCGCCGTGCCCGCCGCCGTCACGTGGCACTTGCTGCCTGTCCGGCAGCCCCAGTCGCTCTGTCTCTCTCGCACCCCACCGCGACGCCACGCGAGTGCGAGAGAGACAGAGTCAGCCCCCTGGGACGCGCGCCGATCCTTGAACGACGCGCACCGCTCGTAACGCAATGTGTCAGCGCCGCCGGCGCCGCTGCCACGCCGCGACATTCGTATTCACTTTCGACGGGCAAAAAGAGTTTCGGGATTGGCATACGAGGTGTGGCGCTCCCCGCGATGCGCTCCCCGCGGTGAAAGCCTCGTTGTTCGTGCCACTGGCGGACCGAGCAATTAACAGTGAACACGTTTGGGGCAGCGAGCACCACCAGCAGGATGGCGGCTGGGCGTCTCGCCGTCTCTCTCGCACTCGCCGGGCGCCTCGTAGTGGTCCGAGAGAGCTCAGTTCAATCATCCTCCAGCTCCGTCCAGCCACCCCGTGCGGGTGAACTGACTTGACCCCGTCGGGCTGGCTGCCCGGCCAGGCCGGCCGGTCCAGGCGCGGATAATGCTGGAGCCGGTCGACTTGGTCCGGATGTGTCGACACCTTCGGGCGGCCGGGCCGAGCGCCAAGGCGGGCATTTTGGTGGGTAATCTGTGCCACTCACTCCCTCTCACTCGTTCAGCCCCTGTGTGGAAAAATTTGATGCTGTTGAGTGACCAAGCTGAAACAGCGCGACTCACGCGCACGATAGGTCCGTCCCCCCTGAAAGCCGGTTGAAATCTTAGGACTCTGGAGGGGAAATTGGTATTGCAAACAGTGTTTGCTTTCTTCTTGTCCTCGGATGGCTGTGCCAAAGGGTGGCCGCTGTTCACGCCGCGGCGGCACGCGGCTCGGCGGCTCGGCTTGTCGATGCAGCCTTGATGGGCGGCTCGCAGCGCGCGCCGGGCATGGCAATGGGCTCGTCTTGAACAAGATCAGCCGCGAGGCGACGCGCCGCGACGCGAGGCCTCGGGGCTTTGCCAGCCAGCGCCAGCATTGGCCAGCGTCAGGGGGATTGTCGCAACGCCGGGCTGCCCCACCGTGCCCCGCCTGGCGGACGGCCACGCGGCGCGCCAATGATAATGAGCGGTTACGATGATGATGAGCAATGACGATGATGGTGCTGGGTGATGACGATGAGCAATATCGATAATGATGAGCAATGAGGATGATGGTGCTGGGTGATGACAATGAGCAATATCGATAATGATGAGCAATATAATGGTGGCCAATATCGATAATGATGATGACCATTATCGATAATGATGATGATGAGCAAGTTATATCGACAATGATAAGCATCGAAATTAATGAGCAATGTAGAGGATGGTGATAAACCCTGCTAATGATGACAAATGTCGATAACGCTGATGAGCAATGAAGATAATGGTGATGAAGGATGCGTGACGATAATGAGCAATTCCGATGATGACTGGCGGTGATTCCGGCCGTCCGGCGCGGCGCATTGACACTGCGGCGGGAAGAGCGCCGCGCTCCGCGATGCCGATCCCCGCGGTGGCTAATCTGGAGGCTGCGAGGGGAAATCCAGCGGGCTGCGTCGCTCCGTCCCTCTCGCACTCGCGGGGCGTCCCGCAGGGGTGCGAGAGAGACGGAGAGGGCGTCGTATGGCGGCGGCCGAAGTGGGTCGTCGTTTCTCCTGGTGGACGCCGCGTCTCCGCGGACGGAGTGGCACGGAGTGGCGCGCGTCTCGTCTCGCCGATTGAGATGTCGTACTTGGCCACGCTAATGAGACTCGCTGCCGTCCGGCGTGGCGTCCAGGGCGTCCAGCCTGCCGGCCGCCTCGGCCTGCTCCAGCGCGTCTCGCGTCGCGCTCCATGTCTGGCGTCGCGCCGAAGAGGATGGGACCGCTGAAAGTGAAATTAAGAAGAAAGTAGCGTACCCTTGAGCAGCGCGGCAGCACCCGGGTGGCGTGTCTCGCCTCTGTCTCTCCCTCACACACAGGGAGCGGCCCGCGAGCGCGAGAGAGACAGCGGTGTGCGGCATCGCGGCGTGCGGCGCGAGGCAAGTGGCGTTGATGCGGATCTGGAATGCAGAATGCGGCAGAATGGCAGGGCCTGGCAGGGTGCGCGATGACGCGCCGCGCTTTCGCCGCTCGTCGAGAGCTCGCGTGGAAGGCTCGCATCGCCGTCGGAAAGCCCTCGCCACCTCCAGTGGGCCGCGGAGCTACCGGTTGCCCCCGGGGCTGCTCGACCTACTGACCACGGGTTACCCCGCCCCGCCGCTTCGCCCCGCCCACACGGCGGCGAAAGGGTTTCCCAAAGGCTGGACCCCGGCGGCGCGGTGCGGTCGGCGGCGTCCTGGACGACGAAACCAAGTCGCTGCTGCAATGAGGAGGCGCGCGGCACGGCACGGCACGGCACGGCACGGCGCGGCCGCAGAGTGCGGTCGCCGCCAGCCTGCAGCCTGCAGCGTTATCGGGCGCCAAATGGAGGGAACCGCGCGCTCGGGCGCAAACCGCATCCACCGGGCGGGGCGGGGCGGGGCGGGGCGGGGCGGGGCGGGGCGCGCGACGCGGTGACCCTGCCCTTGGCCGCCGCACCGAGTTGCCAGCCACCGCGCGGAGGGGACGGACGGACAGCCGCCGAAACGAAGCGAAGCGGGTCGCCCGGCCCGGTAGGCGTTGGCGTGCTGCAGTGCGCCGTGCGTGCGCAGCTTTCACTCCCCCGCCCCGCCCCGCCCTCGCGGCGGAAGCCCGTGAACTATGCCCCGCAGAGATTAGCGGAAGAAAGTGACGCTCTGCTGCCGGGATGGGCCGGGCCTGCCGGGAAATGCCGCCTGGAGGTGCTTGGGGCGGCTTGGGGGCGAGCAGGTGCCGAAGCAGCCGCGCTTCCAGCCGACGGTGGCGGAGAGGACCCCGTCGACGTGCCAAACGGACAAATTGAACAAGTTCGCGCCCAACTTTGTTGGTGATGGCTCAAACACCACGCGCCTCACCCTCTTGGTGTGGTGGAAGGCAGTACCCGTGGGTTGCTTGTGCCCTGCTCGTCGATCAATCAAGGAAGTGGGTGTTTGACACGCGCGCGCACCCACGCCCCATCTTGGATACGCACCTGTGGACCTGCGGCGTGGCAGACGCGAGCCGGAAACGCGTTGTGATCTCATATCTCGTCTCTCTCCCGCGGGAGCCTCGAGGGAAGTCCCACGGGCACGGCCGGCCGGTGTGCCTGCGCTGGTCCCTGGATGTGGTGTGGAAGGAACTTTGGGCCGCCGTGGGCCGTGGGTTGCGTCGGTGCCGGCCGGGCCGGCGGTTCGAGTCCGCTGGGAGGGCACATTTTATTGAGATTGGTGTTACGCAAGGCCTGTGTGCGCCCGGGGCAGCCGCGGTGCGTTGCAGCAGCGCCGTTCCGCCGCTGTCTCTCTCGCGCCCCTGCCGGACGCCATGTGAGTGCGACAGGGACGAAACGACGCTTTGGAATCGGCCCGGGGACTTGCAGCCCGCAAGGCCCGGCCGGCCGCCAGGCCTCCTGCCGCAGAGCTGCAGGTCTAGGGCGGCCCGGCCCCGCCCGGCCCCGCCACGCCGCGACCCTTGAGCAAGCGGAGGCCCCCTAGGACAGTGGTTCTCAACCTTAGGGTCGCGACCCCAAGTGGGGTCGCGAAAAAATTTTAAGGGGTCGCGGCGAGGTAGCTGGGGTCGTGTTTTGGGCCGATTTTAAGCAGCCACTGCGTCTGATCCGAGGCGGGCATTTTGCTCCCTCAACTGGCAATTGGTCTTTGAACCTTCCTTTAGCATGCCTTTGTTACGGAGTGTGATTATCAGTCTTAGTTTGGGAGCAGTATTGTCTCAAAGTTTACCAAAACGGTCAGAAATGTCTTTGAAAAATCGTGTTTTGGGCCTATTTTAAGCAGCCACTGCGTCTGACCCGAGGCGGTATTTCGTCCTCCTTCAACGGGCAATTGGTCTTTGGTCCTTCCTTTAGCATGCCTTTGTTACGGAGTGCGATTATCTGCCTTGGTTTTGGAGCAGTATTGACGCAAAGTTGATCAATACACGATTTTTCAGACATTTGTGACCGTTTTGATCAATTTTGCGGCAATACTGCTCCCAAACCAAGGCAGATAATCGCACTCCGTAACAAAGGCATGCTAAAGGAAGGTCCAAAGAACAATTGCCCGTTGAGGGAGCAAAATGCCCGCCTCGGATCAGACGCAGTGGCTGCTTAAAATCAACCCAAAACATGATTTTTTAAAGACATTTCTGAGCGTTTTGGCCAACTTTGAGACAATACTGCTCCCAAACTAAGACTGATAATCGCACTCCGTAACAGAGGCATGCTAAAGGAAGGTCCAAAGACCAATTGCCCGTTGAGGGAGCAAAATGCCCGCCTCGGATCAGACGCAGTGGCATGCTAAAGGAGGGGTCCCGTGGGGTCGCGAAATTTTTCCTGGGGGTCGCGGAAATTTTTGGCTACAAATTTGGGGTCGCGAGCCGAGAAAGGTTGAGAACCGCTGCCCTAGGAGCAGCACAATCATGCGTGCGTCTCGGCGAGTCCAGCGCAGCAGTGGAGCGAGTTGGCCGTTTTGACGACAAGCTGTGAACGCCCCGCTCCGCGGCGGCTGAAACAGTGCTTTGGACGCTCTGTCTCTCTCACACTGGTTGGCGATGCCGTAGGTGCGAGAGACACGGCGGCGAACCACTCACGTTCGGAATCCTCCGCCCGGCGGCGCCGTGGCGGTGGACCTGGAGTGCATCATCCTGGCGGTGGCGTTTGGGGCCGTGGATGAGTGGGGCAACGGGAAGCGGCGCCTGCTCCGCCTGGACGGGCGCCTCGCCTCGGAACCCAGAAATGCAGGAACGCAGTCGGGGCGGCAGCATGGCGGCGGCGATAAGCCTTTAAGGCCGTAATACCTCAAAGGCCACCGGGACTCGCGGATCCCTACCTGACTGCATCTCATTGACTGCCCGAGTGCGTAGCTAACGCCCTGTTTCTCTCTCTCTGCCCGCAGATTCCGATGGGGTGCGGCGTGAGCTGGGTGGACGAATGGCTGACGCGGAACTTCTTCCGCGTGGGGCTGTTCGTGGGCCGCCACCCCGGCTACTTCATCATCGTGCCGGTGCTGCTGACGGCGCTCTGCATGACAGGCTACCAGCGCATGCGCTACGAGATGGACCCCGAGTACCTGTTCTGCCCCATCAGCGGCGCGGCCAAGGACGAGCGCGCTATCGTCGAGAACTTCTTCAAGACCAACTACAGCTCTAGGTTCAACGTGGGCAGGATAACGCGGCCGGGTGAGTGACCAGCTCTACTTCGCCCCTTTTTACCGCGGCCCGATGGGCTGCGGAAAAAGTCCGGGCGGCGTGGCGCGGCGGCGCGGTTCGACGTCCCCTTTAATCTACGCGGCGAATAGCTAATGAGGCACCGCCGGCTGCCGACTCGCCGTCTCCCTCGCACTCCCACGGGCCGCCCCGTGAGTGCGAGAGAGACAGAGCGACGAAAGCGCTGTTCGGAACCGTCCGACCGCCAGCCTGCCGGCGGCGTGCTCGGCGTGCCCGGCGTGCCCATCCCATCCCGCTATGAAAGTCAATAAACGTTTACTGTTGCGTCCTCCATTCGGTGCGTGGCTGCGCTGCCATTAGCGCCGCGCTTCGACTTGGAGGCGAAGTGTGCCGCCGTCCTGGGGGTGGCCGCCGCGCCTTCGTGCCATTGTCGACGGCCCCGCCCCGCCCCGTTCCCACCCCCCGGCTTACCGCCGGCCCTCCATCAGCCAGCTGACTGATTGATCCGGCCACTCTTTCCGCCGCTCCGTCTCTCTCGCACTCCTGGGTCATCCCGCGACACCACTACACTGGAAACTGTCCCGATGAGTGATCGACGCCTCGCTGTCCGCAGGTCGGTTCGGGCGGGTGATCGCCATCCCGCGGCACGGCGACGACATGCTGAAGCGCGAGATCTGGGAGGAGCTGCGCATGCTGGACGACCTGATCCGCAACGCCACGGTGCCCTGGAGCGGCGAGGGCGGCGACTTCCAGTACGAGCAGGTGTGCGCGCGCTGGCAGGACAACTGCTTCACCAACGACATCCTCAACCTGGACCACGTCATCGACGAGGTGAGCACCGCGTTGTCGCTGGCGGTAATCTGCTGCAGTTGTTGTTTTGGCTGGTTTTATTGTTGTGTTTGCCGGAGGCTAATGTCGCCCTTCCTGCGCAGGTCGAGAATCGGTCGCTGCTGCTGACGTTCCCCATCATGTTCAACCCCGTGACGTGGGACGCGCACGCCTTCCCGGTGTACTTCGGCGGCTCCGAGGTGGACGGCGAGGGGCTGATCCAGCGCGTGCCGTCCGTGCAGCTGGTGTACTTCGCCAAGGCGGACAACAAGGGCCAGGACGCCAAGTGAGTGCCCAGGACGGCTATTTCCGCCGCTCTGTCTCTTCCGCGCCCTCGGGATGGGCTCGCAGCCGGCGAGTCATGGTTCCAATCTGGAAGGGCGATTGGGCGTCTCGGTCCGCTGGGGATCGCGGCTCGCGGACCGCGGCGGCTAAACGCGAAGGAACGCCCATCGGATCGGCGAACCTGTGACGCGGCCCGCGAGAACGCGGTGCCTTTTTTTGCGCGCGGCGCGGCCAAGGAGGCGGCATCCGGCTATTTGGCCCGCATGCGCGCTGCGGACCAGTGCCGAGAGCCTTTTTCGTGTCGCTCCGTCTCTCTCGCACTCGTGGGGCATGCCGTGTGTGTGCGAGAGAGACGGAGCGACGAATCAGTCCCCCGGTTCACTTTGGGGCGGTCGTTTTGAGGCCCGCGTGGGCGGGATGTCGCCACGCGGCTCGGCTAGGCTCGACTAGGCTCGGCTTCGCAGTGGACCACCGTCCTGCCTAGGCGGCCGCCGTGGACGAAGCTCTCGCGGTCATCCATTGAGTCTCGAGGGTCAGGGGCCTGAGCGACTCAGAAGCGACAACTCTGGAGGCTGGCCTCTCCGCCTACGAAGCTCTCAAAACCTGATTCCCTACCGAACCTCGATTTGAGTTCGTTCAACTGAGTCCTGGGGTCGAACAGAGTTCGAGGGTCTCAGTTCGGAGCCGCCAGGCCTGGTCTAAAGCCGTCTGACCTCCTTCGCCCCTGGCCGATGGTGAACACCTGGAATCCAACGCACGTCGCACCACAGGTCACTCATCCCTGATTAAACTTTTGCCGCCATGTGTGTGCGGTATCGAGCCCCATTTGAGGACTGTAGAGCTGCTACCGCGCCTAAAGCAGCCCAAAGCTGTATCCGCCAAACCCAAACAGGTCTCGCTGCCGAGCTACTCCGTCGCGCTGTCTCCCTCGCACCCTTCCGAACGGCGCCGCGGGTGCGAGAGAGACAGCGCGACGAGACGACTCTTCAGCCCGCAGTGCGACGCAGTGCGACGCGCCGAACTCCCTGAATGACGCACGGAGTCACGTGGTCCGCGCTCCCGGAAGCGGGCCGCTGGGCGCTCTGGCGCTGGGAGTCGCGGGGGCGCGGCGGATGGTGCTACTTTCACGCTGGATCCGCCACTCCTGCTCCTCCTGCCCTCGTCGCGCGGAATGTGTCACCTTTGTTTACGTTGGCGGCGAAGGCGGCGGGGAGGTGACCCGGTGCTTGGGCTCGGGGTGGCTGCCCTCTCCAGGCCTCTCTCGCTCTCGACTGTACAGCGTGGTCCTCTTGTATTTTTATTTTTTCCGGGGTGGACATTATGTCGTTACACGGTGTCGCGCCGTCTCGCCGACCAATCGGGATGCTGCGGACTGATGACCACTTTTGCCAACAACGCCCCCGCCAAAAATAACTAAAAAAATAACAGAAAGCTTGCAAAAAGAGCGACAACAAACTAGCGAGCACACTATAAGCTATCCATTCCGCACGGGTGCCTCCACGTGGCCTTTATAAGTATACACGATGCCAGCACATCAAGTACGAGGATTTCCAACAAGTGAATAATTAGGTGCGCGGTTAGCTCTGGAATGAGAAAAAGAAGGTTTCGGAAGCTCTTGCCGTGCGCGACGCCGCCGGGTGTGTGTCCGAGGTGAGGCAGTCGGCTGGACTTGGCCTGGACTGGCTGACCCGCCGCCAAGGTCCCCGTCCTCTGCTATTGACATTGAGCGACGCGGCGAGGCGCGGCGGCGCCTGGAAGAAAGTCGGGTCGGGTTGCACAAGGCGGCGCGCGATGCAAACGCAGCCGTAAAACGACCGATAAATAATCGATTAATCGACTTTTGGCAGCGAGGAAGCGCTGGGCCGGGCCTGGTAGTTAGGATGCGCACAGGAAGTGGCCGAGCTGCCGGGCGGGGCGGGGCGGGGCGGGGCGGGGCGGGGCGGGGCGGGGCGGGGCCGGGCCGCGGGGAGCGGCACTCGCCTTGGGGGAGCAGCATTGCGGCATTGCAGTGAAGTGGAGCAAGGCGTGCCGTGGCAAAGGAAAACTGGTGACACCGGCTCTATTTTCCGCCGTCGCTACACGCCATACGTGACACTGTTACTGCACTGTTATGACGAGGAAGGACAAGGTCGCGCCGCGTCGGCCGGGTCAATTGCAGCGCTTGTATGCCGCGCGCTTTCTCATGACTAATGGATCGATCGGTTTGTCCCGCTGCCCGCCAATGTCGTGGGTTAGGTTAGGCACGCGCGCGCCGAACGGCCGAACGGCCGTACGCACGCGGCGCCGACGCGTCATTTTAAGTGCAGTGGGAAGGCGGGGGGCGGCCGCCATTGGCTCCCATTTGCATGTTGGTTTCGCAGGGGGTCGCGGTCAAGGTGCCGCTCGCCGTCGAGTGGACACGCGTCCACACACGCCACGTCTTTCTAACTGTCCGCTCGTTTTTGTGTGATTCCACCAGGGGCGCCGCATGGGAGGAGCGCTTCCTGGAGGTGGTGGGCGAGGCCGACGAGCACCTCTTCCAGCACATCTCGGTGGCGCGCTTCGCCAGCCGCACGCTGGACATCGAGCTGGAGCGGAACACCCGGTCCATCGTGCCCTTCTTCTCGTCCACGTTCGCCATCATGGCCATCTTCTCGGTCATCACGTGCATGATGACGGACTGGGTGCGCTCCAAGCCCTGGCTGGGGCTGCTGGGCAACGTGTCGGCCGGCATGGCCACGCTGGCCGCCTTCGGGCTCGCCATGTACCTGGACTTCGAGTTCATCGGCATCAACCTGGCCGCCCCCTTCCTCATGATCGGTGAGTAGCTCGTGCCGCCCTCTGTCGGCCTGCCCCTCAGCACCGCCTCCCTCAACCACCCCGTGTTGCAGGCATTGGTATCGACGACACGTTCGTGATGCTGGCCGCGTGGCGCCGCACGCCCGTGACCATGTCGGTGCCGGAGCGCATGGCGCACACGCTGTCCGACGCGGCCGTGTCCATCACCATCACCTCCGTGACGGACATCGTGTCCTTCTTCATCGGCATCATCTCGCCGTTCCAGTCCGTGCGCATCTTCTGCATCTACTCCGGTGAGCGCTCGTTCGACTTGCTTGCACTGATTCCGAGCAGTACTTTCGTCGCTCCTTCCCTCTCTCTCGCTCTCATGGAGCGTCCCGTGTGGGTACGATTCCGCTTCGTCGCCCCGTCCGCGGGACGCCAAGTGAGTGCGAGAGAGACAGCGCCGACGCACTGTGCGGCAGGCATGGCATCGCGGCGTGGCTGTCACCGCGTAGCAGTGTAGCGGGCCCGGCGGGCCGGCCTTCCGCGGCCTTGCACCGCGGGAACTCATGCCGCCCAATTATTATGCCCGTCCCCCTTTCATTTTCTCGACAAGAAGTGGGTAACGGTGTTGATTTGGCGGGCCCGCTCGGCCTGCCCCCGCGGTTCGCGGCCCATGGCGCACAGCCCGTGGCACACGGCCACGGCCCCGTGACGCGTGCGTGCGTGTGTGTGTGCGTGCCCGTCGCGGCCGAGTTCCTTCCCAGACGTCGCCGCCGACGTCGTCTAGGACCCCCAAGCCAGCGGCATGTCACTGGCCGCCCGGCGCGTCCTTATTTTGACAGCCCTGGTACGTTTCCTTTCCGATGGTTTGTTTACGGTTTTGTTTTGGTTCCCAGGTTTCGCCGTCTGCTTCACCTTCGTCTGGCACCTGACCTTCTTCTCGGCCTGCATGTCTCTGTCCGGCTACCGCGAGCAGTACAACCGGCACGCGCTGACGGGCTGCAAGGTGGTGCCAAGATCCCTGGCCAGTGAGTACCCACACCAACATCTCGGCTTCACCCCCATCCCCAGCCCAGCCCCGCCCCGAGCTTGATGCTTCATTTTGAGGGTCGCCGCGTCGCGTTCCGTCGCGATCCAGGGGACGAGCGCGTTGTCACAGCTGTCCGGCCTGCCCTGCTCGCTCTAGTGGCTCTCACGCCCCGCCACGCCCCGCCAGGCTGATCCCGGGCGGTGCTTTCGCCGCGCCGTCTCTCACGCACTCATGGAGCGCACCGTGGCGGTGCGAGAGAGACAGCGCGCCGCTCGGAGTCGCCGTGCAGGCCGTGCAGGCCGTGCAGGCCGTCCGGCGGGCTGCACTTGATGCAACGAGGCGGTCATCCTCGACGTTCCTATGACTGTCTATGGCAGCCCACGACGTGCCACGCCTCAACGTCCCTTCGCCTGTTACGTCACGTCAGTGCCGCGCACTGGCTGGGCTCGGCTCGGCTCGGCTCGGCCAGACACTGGTCGCCCTCGGCTGGGCTCGGTCGGGCAGTGGCTCGGCTCCGTCGGTCGGTCGGTCAAGGACACTGGAGGATGGGATGGGAGGAGGGACCGGCCGGCCCCTTCGATGCCGCGGAGCGGTTCCACTTCCTGATCTGGATGTCCCGTCCCCGCCGTCTCGGGACTCTGGACGCAGCACACGCGCCGCCATCGACCGATTCCGAACACTGCTTTCGTCTGTCTCTCTCGCACCTCCACGCGCCGCTTTGGGTGTGAGAGAGACCAAGCTGTGCTTGGAATCGGCCCTGCAGGCGGCCGGGCCCGCCTCGGCGCTCAGGGACGGTGTGGTTCCATTCATTAGCAACGCGGACATCGAGACGCGCCTTCGATTTCGTTTCGTTGTTTTCGTTTTATTTGGCGCGTGGCTCCGTTATCGGGCCGCCAACCTCGCGGCGGTTTTTCCTCCTTTTCGGCCTTTTCACTCCTTTTCGGCCTTTTCCCGGAGCCCTGCTCGTCGCGTTCTTATGTGAGCGGCCTGACTGCTCCGTCATAACCAGTGTCGTAACTCATTTTAACCGGGCGCTTGTCGCTGCTTGTCGCACAGGGCGTCGCGCACGACACACTCTGTGGCAGACTGATTCCGAGCGAGAGGTGTCTCTCTCTCTCACCCTCGGATCATCCATGCACTGGTGCGAGAGAGACAGACTGACGGGCTTTGAATGAGCCTGCAGCACGGACGCGACGCTCTGCACCAGCCTTATGGCGAGCCTGACGGGGTCCTCAACCCTCTCCGTCGTCGGTCATCGTTGTGGCCCCCTGGGAGGCTTGTACCCGCGCCGGACCGAACCAGACCGAGGCAGCAGCCGTGCCATGCAGAAGATCGCTTTGTCGCCGTCTCTCTCGCACCCTTGCGGATTGACCCGCGAGTGCGACAGACTCTTCTGGATCGCTCGGCAGTCAGTGCCCCGGCGCGCGGTGCTGACCAGGGCCCTGTCGGCCACAAGCCTCTGGACCTCGCTCTGGACGGCCAGCCTAACATCGCGTTGTCGCTCTGTCTCTCTCGCGCCCCTACGCGACGCCTCGCGAGTGCGAAAGAGACAGACTGAGGAGGGCGCTGTTGTTTGGAGCCGAGCTGAGGCGGGGGCCTCTCGGACCAGTTCTGGCTCGCGCGCGCCTCCTTAATGTGCCGCCTTTTGGCGGACGGGGGTCGCGGGGCGCGGCGGGAAGGAAGTGGTTGGCTGGAGTAGATTGGCTTGATCCCCGAGCGCCGAGTTTGCTCGCTGTGGGCCTGCCGACCTGCCCTGCCAGCCTGCCCTGCCCGCCGCCGTGGATGTCATGGCCTGGACTGGGGCGCGCGGCGAGACGCGAGGCGCGGTCATGGCCCCGATGACCTGCACCACGGCGTGGTGGCGGCAGCGCGCCCAAGGGCCCTAGGGCCAGACCACCCGCGCCGTGGTGGGTCTGCCTGCCGCCTTTTCCGGCTGGCACTCGGACGGGGAAAGCTGCGGGCGTTGCCGCGTTGGCATGGCGCACCAAGGAAGTGCACTGGACAGTGTCTGGACGGGACACTGGAGTGGGTCACGTGGACACGGTGCAGCACCCACCCACTGTGGTGGCTCCCCGAGGTGCCCCAGGTGGGCCGAGCCGAGCCGGGCCGAGGCGGCCACATATCGGCCGGGTGCTTGTGCAATCCGGATGTTGCTGGAGCTGGGACGGCTGGAACCCCTATGCCGTGTCCACCGTGTGCAGTGGCGCAGAGTGGCGCCGTGGCATGCTGACCCGCTTCTGTTGGATCCGCTGGGCCGCACCGGCGCTGCTTTAAAATGCAATATCGCCAAGACTGGAGTTCGATTCCCCCCGCCCCCTCCCTTTTTTGTGTCGAACCCGAGTATGGGCTGTGGCAGTGTGGTTATCCCGCGCCTACTGACGTGTTTGTTTCTCCTGCCCGCAGAGAAAAAGAACATCCTGTACCGCGCCTTCTGCGCCGGCGGCCACAACCCCGAGGACCCCAACAACCCCGAGGACAACAAGGAGCACGCCGGCATGAGTTTCTTCCGCGACACCCTGGCCAGCTGGCTGAACCGCTGGCCCGTCAAGGTGCTGGTGCTGCTGGTGTTCGGCGCCTACCTGGCCGGCGCGTGCTACGGCATCACCACCATGGAGGAGGGCCTGCAGCGCCGCAAGCTGTCGCACGCCTCGTCCTACTCCATCGAGTTCTACGACCGCGAGGACTTCTACTTCCGCGAGTTCCCGTTCCGCATTCAGGCAAGCGCTCCAATTCTCTCGGCCACTCGTTTGGGTGGGCCCCGGGCAGAGCAGCGTATGCCGATGGGGAACCCGTTGCAGATACGCTGTTGCTTTCGGTGGCCAGTCAATCATTTGCGAACATCGATTGCGACGTGTGTTTTTTTTATGCCCTGTCCAGGTGGTGGTCTCCGGCGAGTACAACTACTCGGACCCGATCATTCAGGCGCAGATGGAAAACCTGACGCAGACCTTGGAGAACTCGACGTACATCTCGTCGCCGCTGTACACGGAGTCGTGGCTGAGGTCCTTCCTGGGCTACGTGACACGCAACCAGGACTACCTGAACGCCACCATCGACAACGAGAAGGACTTCATCGCCTCCCTCAAGGAGCTGTGGCTGTTCCCCGCCAACCCCTTCTCCCTGGACGTCAAGTTCAACGAGGCCGGTGACCGCATCATCGCCTCGCGCTTCCTCATCCAGGCCGTCAACGTGACCGACACGAACCAGGAGAAGGACATGGTGATCAACCTGCGCCGCATCTGCGCCGAGTCGCCGCTCAACGCCTCCGTGTTCCACCCGTACTTCGTCTTCTTCGACCAGGTGGGTCGTCGCGCCGAGCTGCCTGCGGGCTGACTCCGAGAGGAGGTCTTCGCTAACCCTGTCTGTTCCCCTGTTGCAGTTCATGTTGGTGCGGCCCACCACCATCCAGTGCATGATCATCGGCGCCATCATCATGATGGTCATCTCGTTCATCTTCATCCCCAACATCCTGTGCAGCCTGTGGGTCGCCTTCTCCATCATCTCCATCGAGGTCGGCGTGGCGGGCTACATGTGCCTGTGGGACATCCACCTGGACTCCATCTCCATGATAAACCTCATCATGTGCATCGGCTTCTCCGTGGACTTCACGGCCCACATCTGCTACGCGTACATGTCCTCCAAGGCGCGCACGTCGGAGGAGCGGGTACGGGAGTGCCTGCACTCGCTGGGCCTGCCCATCTTCCAGGGCGCCACCTCCACCATCCTGGGCATCATCGCGCTCGTGCTCGCCGACAGCTACATCTTCCTCGTGTTCTTCAAGATGGTGTTCATGGTCATCTTCTTCGGCGCCATGCACGGCCTGTTCCTGCTGCCCGTGCTGCTGTCCATCTTCGGCCCCGGTGCCTGCTCGGGCGGGTAAGTGAACCAACACCGCCACGCAACGCGGCAACGCGGCAACGCGTGGGCGCTCGAACCTACCTCGTCGACTCGAGTGTGCACTTGTGTGCGTCATACCCATAGCAGGTGCATTCTCAATGAGAGCACACTTTCAACTGCATTCCACGCCCACTGGGTACGCACTCAAAGCGGCAAAATGCTAACGCGCCTGTCCGTGTCGCAGGGCCAACGACGACGACGACGTGGACCCCAAGTCCGCCGTGGAGAAGACGTTCCCGCACCCGTACTGCATCCCGCACCCGTCGCTGCACCCCACGCAGCTGCAGGTGCCGCACAAGGGCAACGGCCACGCCCCCGCCTTCGGCATCCCGCTGCCGGGGCTGCCCAGCTTGCCGTCGCACCTGGGCATGCTGGAGAAGGACATGGGGCTGGGCACCTCCGGGGAGGACTCGAGCGAGGCCAGCTCGTCCAAGTCGCAGCGCCGCCGCGCCGCCCAGGCCGAGGAGGACGAGCGCCAGCGCCGGAAGTAAGTACCTCGGGTGGCGGGTTCGATTCCCGGCCGGGTATGTGCTTTTGTTCCTGAGTGCGAGTGCTGACGGCCGCGGCGTGTCCCCAGGTACGTCGAGGGCTGGCGCAAGACGTCGGCGCTGCCCATGCAGCCGCTGCAGACCCAGATGCGGCACTACCAGCCGCGCCACATGGACGTGTACAACAACAGCGGCTACCTCAGCGACGAGGACCGGCACGTCCGCAGCCGCAGGGACTCCAGGGGCTACCGGGGGTCGCCGTCGAGCCACCCGGGCCTCCAGGGCCAGCGGCAGCCCAGACCGCCGCCGGCGCAGTTCCAGCCCGGGCCGCCTGCCAACTTCCGCTACGGCGGCGACATGAAGTTCCCCTGACCCTGATTCCTGCATGTAGTGCAGCGGTGCAGCAGTGCAACGTGGTGTCGCGTTTTGTTACTTACGGACCGGAGACCCCACGCTTCTCCCGGCGGATGGCGGCCACACTGCTCGGTGCTGAGGCTGCCTGGAGCGGCCGGCACGCGACCCGAGCGTGGTCCATGATGGCTGCGTAGTCAAGCGACACCGTCAATAGTTATTTTTCGCCGCCGGTCCCATTTTCTTAATGGAAGTGTCAAGGCTCCTCGTGCGGTGTTCGTTTCCAAACGAATGCCCCCTTGGATTTTGAACTGTCTGAATTATCTTGGCCAAAGTCTACATTTTTTCATTGTTTTGCCATAGTCATTCACGTTTACATGTTTTAACTCCTGATTTTTATTCTATTTTGACCAGAGACATTTTTCTTATTGTTTGGAATAGTTATAACAAACGTCGCATTAGAAAAGAAATGTGTTGATGAAATCAGGGAAAAGTGTCCTTGGCTATTTAAATTATTCTTCATTGGCTCTTTGTGAATAGATTTTTAGAATATAACAAATTTAGTGATTTAATTATTTTGATACAGATTTTATTTTCAATGGACAGTGCCATTAAATCAATATTAGCTTATTTCTTTCTTGTATGGATTGAAAAAGAAACATTCTTTTGTTGTTTCATGGTACTACAACTTCTAAACCCCGTGCCAGTGACTTCTGCTCATTGATAGGAAATAATTTTAACAATCTTGCATTCTGTTCGAAAAAAAAAAGTTCATCCTCAACTGCTAAGTCATAGGTGCAACATCAGTAGAGTAAAACTCTTAAACGACTTTGTTACCAACTAGTATTTCATTAGAACAAGGACACTGCCGCCTTTATGTCCCTGCATAGATTTAGTATTTTATGAATTTCTCAGACTAATTATTTTATTGAGACTGCAGCTTATACCCCACTCTTGTTGTTTAACGACTTGTTGTGTGACATTTTTTTTTTTTTTTTTTGTCAAGTTGAAGTGTATTCATTGCACTATGCTCAATGTTCCCACGGAAGAAGACTTATCTTTTTGTTCTCATTGTATATTGATACCTCTCTTTTGTAAAAGTTTAACTGAGCTCATGAAATAGCCATTGTGAGGTATGTTTTGAAGCGTGATGTTTTTAAAGTTTATTCTTATCTCAGGTAAAAAAAAAACAATTTGAGAGCTATTACAATGGACTTTTATTAGAACCAATGATTTGCATTCTTGATAAACATGTGATATTGCAATGGGCTGCTTTGTAGGATGTTACAATTTTGTCTCAATATAAATATGTTAAAATAAATTTTGTTATGTGTGTGCCTGTGTGTGTATTCTCCTTGTGGGGATTATAAGTCAAATGCTCAATTTGTTGATTGCTTGAATGTGTGTGTTTTTAACAAATGTAAATAAATAATATTGAATAAGTCATTGAGTAACATGCCTGTAAGAATGAATGGTCTGTGAGTGTGTGTGTGTGTGTGTGTGTGTAGGTGTGTTTGTGTGTGTATGTGTGTGTGCGCGTGTTGATCAGTTAGTTTTGTAGATTGTAAATAAAGCAAAAGTAACTTTATTATCAGATAAATGTGTTGTTTCTTACTTATCCCATCTCTCAGACTTCACATCATTCTGTGTTCTAAAACAAATACGTCCATAAACGCACAACTATTATTAATATTAGGGTTGCCTGGACCGCAGTTTCAATCCACCAAAGTCTGGAAGAGAAATATTTGAGATCAGATATGTTATAACAAACGCCCAACAACTAAAACAATGTAAAGTCTACTCACCTTGACATGTGTTCACTACTCTTAGCAGGATCATATTCTTCGTGTAGGCAATATTTGACAATTCCACCGATGGTATTTGCTGCCCATTCTTTGTATTGTTCAGCAGAATCTTTTCTGGTGAGGAAATCGAGGTAACAGTAGTCTTTGGTGTCTTCTGGCAGTAACAGGCTTTGCAGTCGCCACTGGTTGACCGCACTGAAGCGGAAGGTGGTCTGCGTGAAGTATTTAACGGAGTCGAATCCTACCACACATTTTCGGTAAATGTCCAACATCCTAGAAGGGAAAGAGATACAGGTTAAAATGCGTGTGAGGGAAAAGAGCGAGAGCGCGCGCGCTACCGTGTGCGCCGGAAGTCCGCAGCCCGTCAGACGACCATGCCAGAGGGGCTCCCTACCCTCCAGGCGCCCGCAGTGGAGCCATTCAGCGCTCGTCGCGGCTTGCGCTGTCTCTCGCGCACCACGGCACGCCCAGTGAGTGCGAGAGAGACGGAGCCACTAAAAAAAACGGAAAAAAAACGAAAAAAAAAACTCGGCCTGGGTGGCACTTGCCTGGGTTTCTGCCCCGTGAGTCTCGCCAGCAGGTCGAGCGCGCAGCCGAATATGAGGTGGTTCCACACGTGCAGCACGGCATACACGGCCTTGGACCGCGTGAGGGTGGCCCTCGGGGAGCGCACCGCGCCCGGGAACGCCGTGAGTCCGTTCATCAGCTCCTTGGTGAAGAACACCATCTCCTCCAGCCGGACTCCCATGTGGTCCAGGGTTACGGAGTGCACCACCTCCACGCCGTCGTAGTCTTTTCTCGAACTGGAACATACAGTGTGTTGGCCACCATCTGCCGGGCCTCTGCTTTTCTGAGGTACTTCCAAAAGCCGTTTGGACGCCCTGGTCTCTCAGCCTCTCGCGACAGAGACAGAGCGACGCAGGTTGGGCGTTGTTCGCTGGCTCGACGCGTACCTGAGGTTGATGCCGATGCCCTTGGCCCAGGCGGCCAGGATGACGGTCTTGGCCACGCAGTCCCCGGGGATGAGGTTGGTGGTGACCGCGCCGTCCACGTCGAACGCCACCACGATGCCCTTGCCGCCCAGCACCCAGAAGGCCGAGAAGCCGTACAGGTTGTCGATCCAGCCGGGGAAGGGGTCCTGGTCGGTGCCCAGCACTGCCAACAGCATTGGAAACAACGTCACTTTCCGTCGCATTTTTTCGTGAATGCACCATCATCTGCATAACGAGGAAGCCAGTCCGTCCGGGCCGTCTAGTGCAGTGTGCGGGCGTGACTCACCGATGGACGGTCTGACGATGACGACGGGGATCTCGGAGCGCGCCTCGTTCACGACCTGTTCGGCCAGCGCCTTGCTGAATGTGTAGCTGTTTGGCTGGAAACCCAGAAGCCTACAAACGCGCAAAACAAATCAAACAACGACAAAACAAACAACAAATTATGAATATCCCCCATCCGGCCCCACGTACTGCCGCACTGGGACACAACGAGTTGTTCGTCCGGCTCAGCCGGGGTACTGCTTACTTTGGCCCCAGTAAGGTGAGGGTGTCCGGGTCGGGGATCTCGTTGACAGCCTTGAGCACCGTCCTCCAGTCCAGATGTGTGGGGTACACGCACTCCTCGAGGAAGGGCTGGTTGGTGTTGGTGTACGCCGTGGACACGTGTATCATGACCTGCCACCCAGTTCCACGTCACTTCTCGGCTCCAGGTAGAGGCACGAACAAGTACCTTCCCCCCACCCCTCCGAAAATCCGAAAACGGCAAAACGCCCTGACGAACAGCACCTTGAGGTTGGGCATGGCCTTGGCGAGCTCCACGGCCTCCTTGGCGCTGGCCACGTTGGTGAGCACGGCCTTCTTGATGGGCTCCGTGAAGCGCACCGAGGCTGCCACGTTGAAGAAGACGGACACCTCGCGGCACACCAGGGCGGCGTCCTCCTCGCTCAGCCCGAGGCGGGGCTCGGCGATCTCGCCGGCCAGGGCGTGCACCTTGCGCTCCAGGACGCCGGGCTTCTCCTTGCGCAGCCGGTCGAACAGCTGCGGCCAGGGCAGAGTGAGGAGGGCGTCCATGTCCGCGGGCGGGGCGGTGAGCCTAGGGGGAAGCACTTACGGGGTCCGAGATGGCGACGCGCAGCCTCTCCTGCACGGCGAGGCCGCGCTTGGGCCGCATCACGACGTACACCTTCTCGACGTCGGGGCACGTCCGCAGCACCTGCTCCAGGACCAGGCGGCCCAGGAAGCCCGTGGCGCCCGTCAGCAGCAGCGTGCGGCCGACGAAGAAGTCCGGCACCCTGGTGTGGCCCGGCACCTCGGGCCAGCCCGCCGCCGCCGCCTGGCGCCGCGCCGCGAACACCGCATCGCGCACGGCGCGGCACTCGGCGTTGTGGGGGTGGCCGACCTGCAGCAGAGCAGGCAGTGCAGGCAGTGCCGGGGTGCTGGGTTGGCGGCGCCGAAAAGGGCCACCAGGGCCGAAAGGACTGCCCGCACCGGCCCGCGCGCTGGGCAATGTCTCTGGCTTGGCTCTCGAGAAGTTGCCCAGCAGGCGGGCCGAGGCCGGCAACCCTTTCCACACCAGTGCTCGTGGCAATTTTCGTCTACTTATGGACTTGAGTCACACATGGTGCAGTGCTTTCGGGGAGGGTGCCGCTGGCCGGCAGCCACTGCCCTGTCGGCTACGCGGCGGCGCGGCGCGGTACCTTGAGTCCTGGCATGCTGTTCGCGTGGTGCGTCGTCCGCCGCCCGGTGGCAAGTGCCAGACTGTGCGAGAAGACTTGCAGAAGCGACAAATGAGGAACAGGAAACGCGCTGGCGGCGAGCGAAGCGACGCGAAGCCCGTCAAGACGGCCGGCCTGTTCGCGACTGGCCGTCCCTTCGGGTCCCCGGCGCGGCTTTGCGGCTTTCTGGCCCCGACTGGGCTAATGGATTCTCAATCCTCGTAGACGGCCTTAGCCGACTTCGCCCGGTGGTGGTCAGCGCCGTCAGCGCCGTCAGCGGGCACGTCGGGGTCGCCGCGTGTCCGCGAGCATTGCGCGTCGGGAGCCACGCGGTGGGGCGCCGCCACGCCGCCACGCCGCCGTCGACTGCCTAGAGAGGCTCCCAGAGCGGCGGCAACGCGCGGAACTTTGGCGGAGACATCCAATCGCAGCGCTCGCTCGGCCGCTCAGCCCAGTCCTTACGAAAATCTCCCTTCGAGATTCTCCTAGCGTCACCTGTCCGCGTTGTTTTGGCGAGCGGCGTGCGGCACGAGCGAGAAAGACTCGGAGTCTCTGCAGCCGCGGCACGGCGGCACGGCGGCACGGCCCGTGACGTCAGGCTGCTATTTTGGAAACCCGAGATTGGTTGAGCGGGTCGTCGCGCCCACTGCTTCACAGACCTTAGGGATTGATCCTTGTTCGTTCGCGAGTCCCACCCCTCGGCTGGGCAGGGGTGGGAAGGCCGGCATACGAAGACGGTCAGAGGAGGCCCTTATTACACTCTAAAAGACTATTTTTGTTAATTTTAGTTATATGATAATGTAAATTGTCACACGGTGCTTCCGTCAGCATAACAGTCAATTTTAGTCAATTTTCTTGAAAGACCTTCAATGTGGAGGAATTTTTTTAGGATGCACGTGCCCAAACCATGTGTGCCGAGTGGGCCGAGGCATGCAACTCCTTGAACACATTTTTTTCGCCTGATCACCGTTTACCATTTACTTTGAAATCCGCTTCGGACAAAACGGCTGCTTTCTCTGCTCAGCGTGCTTCGGACACACGTCAAGTCAGTGTAAGCCGTCACTCTAGTCGGGTTGCGAGTAATGTATACGCAAACACCGCAAAGCCTGGTCAAGCGGACACGCCAGTGACGCGCACGCCGCGAAAGCAGCAGGAGTTGCAATCCGATTGGACGGGTCTGCCCCTGACTGTCATTGGGTGCGATGGAGTGTGGGTGAAGCGAGTTCCCGTCATTGTAAACGTCTTACCTACAAAGTATCCCCCTAATACAGTCACTTCTGACCGAACAGTTTTGGTGTCCGTCGCAGTTGCACAGAAATTATCCAAAAGTTACAGACACGGAAAGAAAATTGAAAACTGAATTCCACCCGTATTATGGCTTTAAACATATATCCGTTTGGACTATAGTGTGGGCACCCCTCGGAAGTTGGGGGTGGGGGATGGAGAAGGTGTTCAAGGGGCAGGCCACGATGTCCCGGAGATGGGCAATCTGCAAGCAGAAGGTGCTACACCCACGAAGCCCAGACACGCACCAGACGTGCGCGACTCGCGTTGCACTCGCCCTGGTGGTGCGAGAGAGAGGGGAGACACGGCACACATCCCACCGCGGCCGTGAGGACAACTAGGCCCGCAGCCCAAGGCCGAGACAATAGTGGCCAACCAATCCGATCAAAGGCTAGCGGTGTATTCCACTATGGTGGCCACTCGGCACCACGCCGCCCGCCTGCGGGCCCAAAGCCAAATTAAGCAGGCTTAGGGCAGGGATAGGGCAGGGCAGGCGCGGCGAGGCTTCGCGGTCTTCCTGGCGACGGCCACGTGAGCGTCGGCGCGGTGTTGTTGGTGGCGACCGTCGCTGACCCGACCCGTACCTCCTGCAACAAAGGGGCTGCCGAGAATACCACTGGCCGGGGCAGCAGGAAGGCGTGCAGTCTGGATGCTGATGAGACAGCTCAGGACTTGCTCTATTGTTCCTTATGCTCAAAATACTTCATAGGATTCTAAGCGTGCATTTTACGGATGAATTTAATGCAGATGTTTTCGTCCATATTACAACGGTTTTCGTGTAGGCCTACAAAGCCGAGCTAGTGGGACTGTAGAGACTGCTGAGTCGATGGCCCATCCTCATGACTTGTGAGTCATGAGTGCAGCTTCCCGGTTTTCCGACCGCTGCGCGCTGCGCCGCTTCGGGAGTCCCCGCGTCCGACGGGCCGCCGGGTCCCTGCGGCCGACGGGTCCCTGGGACGAAAATCTTTCCGCGGCCGAAAGCGCACATTACGAGCCGCGGCGCACGTCGCGAGGCAGCTCACTCATCCCGTCAGGCGTTTTCGTCTCTCTGTCTCTCTCGCACTCACGGGGCACGCCGTGCAGATGCGAGAGAGACAGAGCGAGCACTCTCGGAATCAGTCTCCTGAATGTGAGGATGCGCGGAGAAGGAGGAAGAGGAACAACAAAGCCTCCGCAGAGGGTTCCCCGCCCAATCTGGCGAAAATACCTCCGCCGAGATGAGTACAGTGTACAGGGCCTGGAGGAGCTCCACTGCCACGCAGGCCGCGGCGCGCGCCGCACGTCCGTCGTCGTCATGGTGGTGCTCGGGTCCGCGTGGCTGCTGGCGCTGCTGGCGGCCACCCTCGTCCTCGACCGCTGCAGCTTCGCGACAGGTAAAGCCTCTGGCCGGCGGCCACGGCGGCCACGGCGGCCGGGCCCCGCCGGGGGTAGCGCGCCGCTCCGAAGCGCATCCCCGCTGGACCGCTGGCCGCAGGGCGCCTGGCGGGCAGGCAGTCCCGTTGCGCTCCGCTGCATGCAGACAGCGCTGGCTGCCTACCCGCCACTTCGCAGGCGCTCCAGTGGCCAGCGGTGCACAGCGTTGCACGCAAGAGAGCGAAAATGACGACGACGCAGCGGTGTCGGAAGGGCTGCCATTCCCGCCACGGCCTGCACACCAGCCAACATCTCGCGGGGTGGGTAGGCTGAGGTTGGCAACGCTCTCGAAACGGGTGCATCGCGGTACTTTCAGCCCACTCATGTGGCCATACTTGCGCAGCATCGCACGCAACGGTGATGGGGTGATACTTTCGGCAACTGATTGTTTGTTTGTTTGTTTTCGTTTACACTCCCGCGTTGGCCGTGCAGTGCGGTGCAGTGCGGTGCAGTGCGGTGCAGTGCGGTGCAGTGCGGTGCAGTGCGGTGCAGTGCGGTGCAGTGACGCTGGTGCAAGTCCGGCTCGTGTGTGATGCGTCCGTCCCGCTAGATGCGTTCGTTCAACGCGTGCGGCTATCGCATGCGCTAAATGATCCGAAAATTGACACCACGCCGATTACGAGTCATTCCGTTTGGCTTGTGCCGGCAGTCAAGGCCGCCGCCGCGCGCCGCGTGCGGATGGGTTCAGCGAGCGCTGCGTGCCGTGCCGGGGCGGCGGGGCCATGCGCCTACACTGTGGCGATGCCCCCGCCGAGCTGGCAGCCAGCGCGCGCTGGTGTACGTTGGGCTGCCTGCCTCACGGCGAACCCTGTCCTGCCGCGGCGGGAGCAGCAGCCATGCGGCGGGAGTGACTCCACACTGGAAACAAAGACAGCGCGCCGAGAAGGCGCTCCTAGGGCGCGTGCTTGCTAAGAATGTACCATCCTCGCAAAGCTGGTAAATAGGTAATACTTATCAGCGTGTCGTCTCCAATTGCCCCGCAGCCCAGCTGTACCGGCGCGGGCGCCCCGTGCGTCCCAGGGTGGCGATGCGCAGGGCGCTGGCTCGGTCCCGCGGCGCGGTGCAGGGGCAGCCCGCCGACCTCTACGAGTACCGGGCGGACGCGGCGCCGGAGCAGCTGCAGCAGGCCGAGTTCCTCGAGTACCGGCCGCAGCCCCTGCAGCAAGCGCCTCGACAACCAGCGCCTCAGCGACAAGTACCTCAGCAACAACCACCTCAGCGACAAGCTCCTCAGCAACAACCACCTCAGCAGCAGGAGCCCAACGTCCAGCCGCGGCAGAGGCAGCCAGAGCCCACCCAGGTGCGACAGGTACACTCGAAAAGTCTTTCGGAAAGCCGCGCAAACATGACGTCCTAAAGTTTTTGCTTTGTAGCTTTCATGTAAAAACGCAGTTTTTTTTAGAAAGTGGCCGTCGTTTCCACTGTAAGAAGTACCTATTTATTTAAGGGGCAAAGAAAAATGTTCATTTGAAGACTTTTAGAGTGTACTCCAGCCCCAGGCCCAGCCGCAGTTCCAGCCGGAGCTGCCCCCGCTGTCCTCCATCACGTTCTACGTCTTCACCAGGTAGGTCCTTTCCGCGAACGAGGCGTTCGGAGTGACGGCATTTCCTGCTGTGGGTGCAGTACGTCGTTGCCAGTGCGCGAGGAGAGCATATTTGCAGTGGTATTAGCTGGGCCGTCGCGTGCCGCGAGACGGGCGGGACGGGCGAGTCGAGCGAGGCAGGCCAATAATGAGAATCTCCTCGAAAACCGGCAAACTGGCTAGGCCAGCGCGTGTTGGGAGGAGAAGACAAAACGCCGAAAACGAAGCGTGGAAGTCGCAGAAAGATAAAGACTCGAGTCGCGGCGTCGCGTCTTCGCGTCCGTTCGCGTCGCTCGGGGGACGCGACGCGGCCGGCCGGTTGGCCGACGCTTGCCGAGGTTGGCGGCGACCCATGCCCGTCCCGTCCCATCCAGTCCCGTCATTTCATAACATTTCGGTTACGGAGGCAGAGTTCGTCGCGTAGTCCTAATCAAGAGGCATCTTTTCTTTTCTTTTCGTAGATGTATTTTAACTACAGGAATTTATAGTAGTACTTCGAATGCGGTCATCGCGATCCCCGTCGGGGGCCTCGGGGGCAGTGGTACAGTGTCGCGGCAGGCCACGGGCTGGCCACCGGCACGCCACGGGCAGGCCATAGGGGGCCCTTTGCTGACATGCTCCGTCACCGGACTCTCGGCGCGTACTAACTTTTAGCCCAATTAGTCAGATTTTTGTGCACACATGAAAATAATTTTACGAAGTAAATCAGCTGTCATGCCTACCTAATAATCACTAAGTTTGACGAAAAGCAAGAAGCCACCAACGGGCTGAGAACTGAACTCCATTGAACTGTGATAACGAAGTCACGTGTTTTTGTCGACAGAAATTCTGCACAGCCTGGTATTCTTCACGTCGGCGACGAGAACTCATTCTTCTCTTCGGGGTTCGATGTGCAGAGACCGACTAAAGTCATCATCCACGGATTCGGCAGCGACGTCAACAAGCCCATGATGGTCACCATGAAGGACGGTATGGTGGTCGACTCTGATTTCATCTTGAGGGCGTCTCAGAACCTTGATATCCCAATATCTCTTTAAAACCTGGTTTACCAAAAATCAATAGTGTAACCCAGCGGCTCTCAACCTTTCTCGGCTCGCGACCCCAAATTTGAAGCCAAAAATTTCCGCGACCCCCAGGAAAAATTTCGCGACCCCACGGGACCCCTCCTTTAACATGCCACGGCGTCTGATCCGAGGCGGGCATTTTGCTCCCTCAACGGGCAGTTGGTCTTTGGACCTTCCTTTAGCATGCCTTTGTTACGGAGTGCAATTATCAGTCTTAGTTTGGGAGCAGTATTGTCTCAAAGTTGGCCAAAACGCTCAGAAATGTCTGTGAAAAATTGTGTTTTGGGCTGATTTTAAGCAGCCACAGCGTCTGATCTGAGGCGGGCATTTTGCTCCCTCAACGGGCAATTGGTCTTTGGACCTTCCTTTAGCATGCCTCTGTTACGGAGTGCGATTATCAGTCTTAGTTTGGGAGCAGTATTGTCTCAAAGTTGGCCGAAACGCTCAGCAGTGTCTTTGAAAAATCGTGTTTTGGGCCGATTTTAAGCAGCCACTGCGTCTGATCCGAGGCGGGCATTTTGCTCCCTCAACGGGCAGTTGGTCTTTGGACCTTCCTTTAGCATGCCTTTGTTACGGAGTGCAATTATCAGTCTTAGTTTGGGAGCAGTATTGTCTCAAAGTTGGCCAAAACGCTCAGAAATGTCTGTGAAAAATTGTGTTTTGGGCTGATTTTAAGCAGCCACAGCGTCTGATCTGAGGCGGGCATTTTGCTCCCTCAACAGGCAGTTGGTCTTTGGACCTTCCTTTAGCATGCCTCTGTTACGGAGTGCGATTATCAGTTTTAGTTTGGGAGCAGTATTGTCTCAAAGTTGACCAAAATAGTCACAACGGTTTTTCAAAGACACTTGCGACCGTTTTGATCGACTTTGAGACAATACTGCTCCCAAACTAAGACTGACAATCGCACTCCGTAACAAAGGGATGCTAAAGGAAGGTCCAAAGACCAATTGCCCGTTGAGGGAGCAAAATGCCCGCCTCGGATCAGACGCAGTGGCTGCTTAAAATCGGCCCAAAACACGATTTTTCATAGACATTTCTGAGCGTTTCGGCCAACTTTGAGACAATACTGCTCCCAAACTAAGACTGATAATTGCACTCCGTAACAAAGGCATGCTAAAGGAAGGTCCAAAGACCGATTGCCCGTTGAGGGAGCAAAATGCCCGACTCGGATCAGACGCAGTGGCTGCTTAAAATCGGCCTAAAACACGACCCCAGCATCGCCGCGACCCCTTAAAAAAATTTCGCGACCCCGCTTGGGGTCGCGACCCTAAGGTTGAGAACCACTGGTGTAACCCTCGCGGTCATCTCCTCGTTTTGACACATGGACTCCTAAAATTGGACTGTCTTCCTAAGTTTAGCGCCAGTTTATTAGCCGAGTTTAGCGCTCCCTGCTTGGATGACGTCAACGGCGACTCTGGACTGGCAGTGCAGCACTCACTCTTTGGTCTTTCTTTTCCTAAGAAACGCAGACGATCTCGGCGATTAAGAGCCGAGGCGAAAATTATGAGCAAAGTGTATCACGTTTCTGCACCGGCTAGTGCGTTTCCAATTCGTTCAAAGTCCGTGGTAAGAAGATGAAGGCGCGTGCGAAAAGAACCTCCGCCGTCATTAATTCGACGCCCGATAGGGACACAAAAGGATCTTGGGCTTCTCCCTCGGGAGCTCTAAAAACACGCGATTACTCATTTAACTTGTCAGCCTGGAGGGAAAACCCACGACCTACTCTCCAAAAGTCCGAAAAATCAATACAATGATACGTCACACACGCATAACACCAATCAGGATTCCTACACAATACAAATCTTTTCCTAATTTTCACTGTCAGAAACACCAGCCTGAAAGAGAAACTAGGTTGTGACTTGGCTTGCGAAAAAGACCTGTTCGTGTTGGCAGCCTACCTCTCGGCCATGGACGTGAACGTGCTGTCCGTGGACTGGTCCCCGCTGTCGGCGCGGCCCTGGTACCCGGTGGCGCGCGCCAACGTGGACGTGGTGGGCCCCCGCGTGGCCGCGCTGCTGGACTGGCTGGCGGGCCACGGCGCCTCCCTGGGCTCGGTGCACCTGGTGGGCCACTCGCTGGGGGCTCACGTGGCGGGCATCGCGGGCGCCAACGTCCGCAGCGGCAGGGTCAGCAGGATCTCCGGTGAGTCCCTCTGTCTGCCTCACGGGGTGCCCTACTCGAAATTCGGCCGTTCTCAAAGATTTTGTCGCGCGTTCTGCCAACTTACAGGCGTTTCTGACAAGATTGTGGGTGGAACTGTCTGCTCCTAGCGTACATCCACTGTTCCAGTGGGGAACCACTAGGCCGTTGTGCGGCCGGATTAGAATAGCCCGTCGGGGAGATGATCACACGCGACTTTTTACGACTGCAGTGAGTCAGCACGCGGTGCAAACAAAGTCGTCAGAGCCGAAAAAGCAAAAGCCCGCTGAAGAAAGAGCCCTTTCTGCTCATGAGTTATGCAGCGTACGTACGGCTGGCGACTGAGGCGCTGTGGAGGAGGAAGTGCACTCCGCATGCGCCGCGTGGACATGTTGTTCGTCAGGAAGCTGTTTATGTTTGTATCGGGACGAAAATCATTTTAGGGCACGAGCGTTACGAGATAACGAAAATCCACTGCAGTTTGAGCTTTCCAGTGAACCCCAGTATGTGACGAAAACAACTCTGACCGTTCGCCAAAACATTTGCCGAAAGAGTGAAAATGGTTGTCTGCACACTCTTCAGTGGGGCGGTGGTGGCGGCAGTGGAGTGGTGGCGGCGATGGCGGTGCAGATGGGTGGAAAGGCCGCCGCGAACCGAGCCGCGAACTCAACGCCCGCGAAACAGCAGCGCGGTATCTCGTTAAGGCTGTCTGCCACACTATTTGCGACGGGTTCAATGGTCGTGGTGCGCTGTGCTGCGCTGTGCTGCGCCGCGCGGGGACGTTATCAAGCTGTTATTGGAGGCGCGGGGCGATGCGCGTGCGGTGCAGTGGCGCGTTGAGTAACCGCCTCGGTAACAGTGGCGCGGAGCAGAGCGGGGCGCCACCCCTGCCGCGACACACGTGATCGCCGTACAGAGCTCACCATTGCAAAATAATGCCATTTCAAAACAAAAATAGTTTTCTTCTGTTTTCTGGTGGCGTGCGGTGGCAGGCCTGGACCCGGCCCGGCCCGGCTTCCGTGACGTGGCGCTGCCGCGGCGCCTGGACGCCGGGGACGCCGTGTTCGTGGACGTGATCCACACGACGGCCGGCCTGCTCGGCATGGAGGACCCCATCGGCCACACCGACTTCTACCCCAACCGCGGCGTCATGCGCCAGCCCGGCTGCACCGACCTCGGCCGTGAGTGGAATCCAAACTCTCCCCAAACTGGGGGCTTGAACCAACGCCTCTGGTGAGATCAAAGACCGAACGTGTGCCCTGAGTGCCCGTCTCTGTGCGTCCAGCGCGCTGCAGCCACGAGAAGGCGTACAAGCTGTTCCGGGACTCCATCGGCCAGGAGCAGTACGAGGCGGTGGGCTGCGACTCCATGCAGGACGCCATGCAGGGCCGGTGCAGGGGCCGGCCGGTCGTCATGGGGGAGCGAGCCAGCGGCACGTACGTTCAACCAAAAAAACCCTTAAAATACCTTAACCTTAAAATAACAACTAAACAAGGTGCAATTTGATTTTTAAAGAATAATTAAAACTTGTGAGACGAAATCAAATAACAAACCTAGCTCATGCGAAAACAGAAAAAATCTCTAAAAAAAAATATTTTGAACTTGAGCGGAAACAGAGACAGGAGACGAAATGACGACAACGAGGTGCGAGGTTACACGCGCGGGCGCGCCTCGCGCGATGCCCCACGTGAGCACACCAAGCACACCAAGCACAAAGCGGGCGGACGCCAACGTACGTCCGAAAGGCCGAATGATAAGTTGCGAGCCACGCCGAGAAATGCATGTTCCTTTAGAGGTCATTCAGTTCAAAAACCATTTTGTTTTTGTTTCGCGGCCGCGAGCCGGAGCCCGTCATAACAACAACGGCAAACAACGGGGAGGGCGTGCGTAAGCTGCGGTCATCGCAGATTGCCATTTGGATCGGACGTTTTGACTGTCGCAGGTTTCCGGGGATCTACTTCGCGGTGACACGCTGATCCTCTGCGGATGGCCCCAATCGGACTTCACCGCTAAACGCGAATGAACAAATTTAAACTGCTGTTGAATTTCCTGGATTAGTGCTAATTGTTAAATAAATACTAACGTAGTGGTCGAGGCCACAACTAAGAGATTCGACTTTACAGTTTCGACAGTGTATCTGCCGAGGGGTGAATCACTGGCGTACTCATGTGTACAAATATGCCCGTACTCAGTGTACTCACAAGTTTAAAAAGAGCAAAATTCGCTCAGTTTTACTCGATTTGGCGTTGTGTCGCTAAAACAAGCCAAAAAACGTTGAAAATGTGAAATTTATGAGTGAAAGAAGGTGTATTCACCCGTACTCATGAACTCATGTGTACACCACAACGCTGAGTGATTCACCCCTCGGTATCTGCTGCTTTTCTTGTCTCTCCACGCTGCGCACAGGCGAGCCAAACTTTTGTGTAAGCTGCACCACTCATTGGTCGTTCGTTTTTGGCGCAAGCCTCTGGCTGAACACGCCTGGAACGAAACAACCCCTGTACGTAAATAAAAACGAGTAATACGAGTAACTTTAATTGTGTTCAATTCCCCCCCCCCCAACCCACACAAAAAAATCAGTCTCGGAGGAAGTGTAGGTTGTCGCATTTTTTAAGCAGTGTAGGTGGGAGCGACGTGTTAGACACTCGGGTGACGCATTGAACACTGTTTCCCGGTGAACGTGACGTCACTTTCGCCATTCGTTCAAAAAATAGTGAAGACACTTTTTCTCCTTTTCCCGGTGACAGTGAAATCAAAGGCGCGGCCAGCCGCGGGAAGCGACTGAGGCAGGCGCCTCCTGCAAGGCTGCCGTGGCTCTGTCTCCCTCGCACTCATGGGACGACCCGCGGGGTGCGAGAGAGACAGAGCGAGGGCCGCGCCCGTTCAAGTCGACCGGGAAGCGCGCGCCGAAATGCCGAGAGACGAGGAGCAGCACGCACGGCGCGGCACGGCGACGCATGGCGTGTGACGTCAGTGGCGTCGGCCCCGGGTTCCCAGTCCCAGGCCCGATCTAGTCGCAACTTACCCGCCAATACAGGGAAAGTCTGGCAATTTAGCAATTTTCTTTTTCTGGGGTAGAGCACGAAAATCACATTGAAGTCGAAAGGACATGAACCTGAATGCAATGTTGTGGGAACCCCATTTTCTTTTTTTGACGTCAAACGATGACTTGTGGGGAGTTGCCAACCAGTGGTCCTCCTTGGAACGAACAGTTTGATGGCACTACCGCAGACATACAGTGCGCAGTGTAGGGTATTTAAAGTGTGGGCTTCGAGAGGAGAAGAAAAGGAAGAACAGGGAGTCAAAAGTTAATTAATTCTTTAAAGCGTGGCTCCCGAGTGCGCTCGCCTGCTCCCGCCCCGAGCCGCGCCTGAAACTCCCTGTGGGCTATTTAGTTCGCCTCGCTCCTGACGGGAGCGAAGGCGCGGGCGAGAGCGCCTTGGGGAGTGGTGGGGGGATCGGTTCGGGCTTCCACTGCCTTCGGCTGGACCCGAGACCCGAACTGGCCCAGCCGAAGGCACCGAACGCATCCCCCCACCACTCCCCAAGGCGCTCTCGCCCGCGCCTTCGCGCCTTCGCTCCCGTCAGGCGCGAGGCGAACTAAATAGCCCAAAGCGCCCGATGCGCGGCGCCGCGGCGTGGCTCGGCGGGAGTCGCGCCGCCGCGATGCAGCCCACCAAGGTGAGGCGCGTGGCGGGCCATCGCCATCGCCGCGTGGCCAGCGTGGCCAGCGTCGCTAGCCCGATTGATATAATGGCCGATAATGACCGTTTTCGGAAGGGGTGATTAGCACGCCACTTCCGCGCGACACGGAATTAGAGCTGACATTGACCCACATCACGGCACTTCTTCACGTGCGCGCCTTTGCGAGTGTGTGTGTTTCACTATGAGTTCCACGTGTGTGCGCATGGTCTGTATGTGTGAGGGTGTCGGTGTGTGTGGCACCGTGCCGCCCCTGTGTGAGAGTGAGAGTACACGCGTGTGTGTGTGAGAGTACACGCGTGCGTGTGTGTGTGTGTATGTGTGTGTGTGTGTGTGTGTGTGTGTGTGTGTGTGTGTGTGTGTGTGTGTCGTGTGCGGCCGCGCGGTGTCGTGTGACGCGGTGCGGCCCGGCCTCGGCCCGGTCTCATTATCAGCTGGGTTCGGCGGCCCGGCCTCAGGGCAGCCCCAGGCAGCCAAGGCAGGGGTCTACATCGTTTCTACGACCTCTTCTTGTCCGACCTGCCGAAATTCGTCCAACCTCCATCCCGCAGGCGGCTACTGGCTGTGATACAGGCCCTTACAGGCCGTTACAGGTCCTTACAGGCCGTTACAGGCCCTTTCAGGCCCTTACAGGCCGTTACAGGCCCTTACAGGCCGTTACAGGCCCTTACAGGCCGTTACAGGCCCTTACAGGCCGTTACAGGCCCTTACAGGCCGTTACAGGCCCTTACAGGCCGTTACAGGCCGTTACAGGCCGTTACAGGCCCTTACAGGCCGTTACAGGCCCTTACAGGCCGTTACAGGCCGTTACAGGCCGTTACAGGCCCTTACAGGCCGTTACAGGCCCTTACAGGCCGTTACAGGCCGTTACAGGCCGTTACAGGCCGTTACAGGCCGTTACAGGCCCTTACAGGCCCTTACAGGCCGTTACAGGCCCTTACAGGCCCTTACAGGCCGTTACAGGCCGTTACAGACCGTTACAGGCCGTTACAGGCCCTTACAGGCCGTTACAGGCCGTTACAGGCCCTTACAGGCCGTTACAGGCCCTTACAGGCCGTTACAGGCCCTTACAGGCCGTTACAGGCCCTTACAGGCCGTTACAGGCCCTTACAGGCCGTTACAGGCCGTTACAGGCCGTTACAGGCCCTTACAGGCCGTTACAGGCCGTTACAGGCCGTTACAGGCCCTTACAGGCCCTTACAGGCCGTTACAGGCCCTTACAGGCCCTTACAGGCCGTTACAGGCCGTTACAGGCCGTTACAGGCCCTTACAGGCCGTTACAGGCCGTTACAGGCCCTTACAGGCCGTTACAGGCCCTTACAGGCCGTTACAGGCCGTTACAGGCCGTTACAGGCCGTTACAGACCGTTACAGGCCGTTACAGGCCCTTACAGGCCCTTACAGGCCGTTACAGGCCCTTACAGGCCCTTACAGGCCGTTACAGGCCCTTACAGGCCGTTACAGGCCGTTACAGGCCGTTACAGGCCCTTACAGGCCCTTACAGGCCGTTACAGGCCCTTACAGGCCCTTACAGGCCGTTACAGGCCGTTACAGGCCGTTACAGGCCCTTACAGGCCGTTACAGGCCGTTACAGGCCCTTACAGGCCGTTACAGGCCCTTACAGGCCGTTACAGGCCGTTACAGGCCGTTACAGGCCGTTACAGACCGTTACAGGCCGTTACAGGCCCTTACAGGCCCTTACAGGCCGCACAACCCATGCGCACCGGGAAAGTTTCCTCCCTTGCGGCGGCGCGGCTCGCGGCAGCAGGAGCCTTGACCCTGGAGGGCGGCGTGGCGGCGCGGCGGCATGGCCAGGCCGAGGGCCAGGCGAACGCCCTCTGCGGCACCGCATCGAGTGTCGAATGTGTCAAGGCCGTGGGGACCACTCCACCCGAAGCAGTCTGGCTGCCTTTCCGTCCTTGGGCCGCCTGCCTTGGCGCATTGCGTCGCTCGGCCAAAACGCCAAAACGACAGCAGAGAGCACGAGGCCAGCGATCCGCACCGCGCGCAATCGCGCATGCTGCAGCTCGGTCGAGATGCAGCGATGCAGCAGAGCAGGCCCAGCGGGGGTTTGGGTTCCGTCGCTCCGTCTCCCTCGCACGCATGGAGGGGTGCGAACGGAGCGACGAACGCGGAGTGGCGCAGCAGGCTGAAGATCCTGCACTGCAGAGGAGACTCACGGCCAACGCAGTCCTGGCCGGACGAGGTCGCGGCGATCAAGGGCGGACCCAGAGACGGGGGAGGGGGGGGGGGAGGAATCGCTAAAGTTGCCTACCTGCACGAGCAAAGTGCGACTTTTTGCTTACCTTCCAGGCGGCTTCCACCACCTTCGCCTGGAACCGCGCCTGGCGGCGTTCGCGGGGTCGTCGACCCGGTGCTGCAGCTCACGGGCGCGTCTTGCGTCGCGGGGCGGAATGGAGCGGGTCCACGGCAAGGACTTGATGCGGGCGGAGCCCTATCGCGACCAGAGCTTCCGGGGCGGAGCGGCAGGACGGGCAGGACGCCACACTGGAAGGCGTTTACGGCGTGGTGCGCTGCTCGTTCTTGTTGCGGAGGGAGACAGACTTTGTTGTCAGCCCGCAGTGTTTTGGGCGACGTCACCGATGATCGATTCGTCGATTGTTCGATTAACGATTAGCTCGCTGTACGTACATGATGGGATGGTCGGACACAAGGCCAAATTAAGGCGTAACAAGAAGTCGCCGGAAAACGGCATGACACCTGAGTCCCACCGTTTTCTGGCGTGACTTTACCCTGTGGATTCATAACAGGCAATTTATTACTGAGCCGTGCTTACGTAGAGTACAGGGACAGGGCAGGGAGGGAAAGGAGGGGAAGGGCAAGTGCTCGTCGCGCAGGACAGCATTCCTGGGCCCCGTCCTCGGCGGCCGCGGTGCGAGGCCGGTGCCCTTGCAGTGGCGGGTCAACTTGGAAACGTGTGGAACCTTTCAACATCATAACAATGGTATACTTCTCAACAACAAAGCGCCTTGATAACCGCAATAGTTTGCCAGCGGCGAATTTGAAATAAAATCCAAGTACTACGTCGTGAGTGTCGACATTCAATCAGAAACGGCGGATCGAAATCGCTACTGAATGCAATTACGATTAGATCGTACGTTGATCCGACTGCGATTCCGACGCGATAGACCGTTTTTTCGGCTGGGTGAGTTGGCACTTGGCACCGGCGTGCCGCGGCAGGGACGTACCGGGCCGTGCCCTGCCGGCAGCGAGGCGTGCCGCGCCCCTCCACGACACACCACGCCTGCCGCGCTGCCGCCTCTAGCTGCTCAAGCTCAAGGTCGACCATTATCGCTCCAGACACCGATTCCTGGACGGACCGGCCGCGGACCGGCCTGGAACGCCACCGGCCGCCACCAGTGGCCGCCACCAGTGGCCGCCACGACGACGGGGCGCGTCGCGACGCCCCGTAAAGATGACACTCTTTTAGCGCGTCCGTGTGACAGGCGTGACAGGTCAGGCATTAGTGGGCCGTGCCGGCATTGTTCTCGGAAAACGGCGCAAACGCGATACGCCATCTGCCATCCGCTGGGGCGGCGAGCTGCAGCCAGACGCAGTGGCGTGGCGCGAAACGCGAAGCACCCGGAGGCAGCCGGCCCGGCAGCCGGCCTGGCAGCCGGCCTGGCAGCCAGCCAGCCTGGCGCCCCGGAGCCACCGGTACCACCCCGAACCGCCCGGCGGACCAGGTCACCGCGAGATTGGGCGCTCTCGTCCGGACTCCGAACCCACCGCCAAAGTCGCAGCTAGTCACAATGGAAATTTAAAATGAAATAATCGTGCAAGACCTCCAAATTTTGCGTAATTTTCGCCTATCTTGAGCGCTTTGAAACTGACGATACGTCCTTTAAGAGAGGACGGTGTAGCTCATTTCGGCGGCCGGGCGGCCGGCCGGGCCGTGGCGAGCCGCCTAGACCGTCCAAGACGGTCCAAGTCGCCGCGCCAGTCGCGCCCGAGGAGTTTGTTTCTGCCAGCTGGGAAAGGCAAATATCCGGTAGTTTGCATAGTTTGTGCGAAGGGCCAGAGCCGGACAGGTCCACAGGTCGCGCGAACCCCACAGCCAACAGCCGAGGCAGCGAGGCAGATTCCACCGATGCACTATAATCAGCCGAGCCAAGCCGGACGAGTCGGGCTGAGTCGTCGGACCGAATCCAGTCGGAGGCCGCTTACAGGCACCCCGGCAGCGAGCCTAGAGCCGCTAATGGGATGGCACCGAATGAATGGCCGAATGAATGGCTCTTGCGCGTCCAGGGAGTGAGAGCCTGTGGAAGATTTAAACGTTGGATTTACAGATTCGATGGTATTCAATCGCCGGCCCCAGCAGTGCTTGAGGCCTGTCGCCATTTAGCGCGGAGCGTGAGTGGAGATACACCGTTAAAAGGGGCTTTGATTGTCGGCCGGGGCGTGACGTTCCTTACGGGTAGAAGAGTGACAGCGAGCAGGCACTGTTCGGAAACAGCCAGGGTGTGAGCTGCCCTAGGCCGCCCCAAGACACACACCGCGACCCTCCGCCACTGCACTGCCACTGCACCGCCGAGACAGCGTCACAGTGAGACGCTGCCGCACGCGCTCGCCACGCGCATCGCCAGTGCATCGCCAACCGCCGACCCCGGGACCCTCCGCGGCCTTCCCCGCGACCGAGCCGAGAGCCGAGAGCGTGTCGAGTGGCGGGCAAATACCGCGCTCATCCGTGAACTTTGGGAGTGGGGCCGCCCTTGACTGGCTTATCGAAGGCGGAGGGGCAGTCCGAGGGGCAGCCGGCAGGACAGCTCCGCCACCGTCTCGGCGAGGATGGCGAGCTCGGCGAAGGCACTTGGATGCACGCCGGGGATGTCGCGGGGGGAGAGGGGAGGGGATCGTCTTGGTGCGTCCCGTGGTCCCGACCCGTCCCGCTATCCAGCCCGCAGCCCGCAGCCCGCAGCCCGCAGCCCGCCGGCCCAAGCCCGGCCAGCCCCGCGCGCGGCCGGCATCCCGAGTCCCTGGGCCGGCGGCGCGCCGAGGCAAGGCGCGGCGAGGCGAGGGGAGGGGAGGGGAGGGGCACGGCAAGGGGCTCGGTGTCGCCGCGCCGCCGCGCTTAGGCCAAGCCGCGGCCCCTCTCCTCTACTCGATTCAGTTCTCACAGCCGGTCGGCCAGACGCACGCGGTCAGCATTCGGCCTGCCCTGCCCGGCGTAGCCTGGCGTAGCGTAGCCTGGCGTAGCCCGGCGTTGCCCCCGAGTCGCTTCTCCGGCCACACACCTCGCGGCTTCGCGCTTCGTATCGCCGAGGCTTCGCGGAACCGCGTCCCCGCGTTCTGGCCCTCCCTCCCCGTGGCCGTCCGCCCCCATGCGCCGGAAGTTCGAGCGCGTCTGCTTCAAGTTGGTCAAGTCGACCCTCAGCACGCTCCGCGGCTACCTGCACAAGTAGTGCCCCACGGCCCCCGCGGCCCCGCCCCGCAGCCATGGACACCGTCAGGCTGGCGTCGTCGCAGCAAGTGCAGGTGGTGCCGGCGGCCGCGTCCAGGGCCTCCCCTGTGGACGATGCGCCGCCCAACGCCAAGAAGTGCACCATCAGTAACCTGGTGAAGCGGCCGCCCGTCAACATCGAGTTCCACGACCTCAAGTTCACGACGCACACCTCGACTGGAGGTAAGCGGGCCGGCGGGCCGGCGTCGCGTCGTCGCGTCCACCGCGCACTTTCTCGCCGGTTTCACCTACACGGCTAATTTTATCGCTGCAGCGGCCTGACGGTGCAAAAAAGTTACGCGCTGGACGCTGGACGGACGGGCGCGGGTTCAAAGACTGGCGGTGGCGCACTGCCTCGGCGCCCGTTTCCCGTTTCCTAGGCGGGGCGCCCCACATCCGTCGAAGTAGGGTTTCCCTCCCCGAGTTATCGCTGGCAAATTGTGCCACGAAAAAAAAGGGTTACGTCCTCCACTGTTTTTGAGCGATAAAGCGGCCTAGGCCGGCCGGGCATGCGGCCGGGCCAGCACTGGCTGCACTTGGCGTCCCTCTCCCCCCGTTTGACAGTTCGAGACGTCCATCACGTGGACGCGGCTGCGCGGCGCGCCACAACACTCATGTGGGCCGAAAGCAAGGCGCCACAGGAAGGCGTTTTCGCGAGGACCACCAGATAGTCTAATCGAGGACTGGCGAAAAACAGCAGCGAGCCTGGTGTTCGTTGCCCGTTTACGGTTCCAATCGCGACGCGCCGATGTGTGGCGCGGCACCGCGTAAATAAAACGCATCCGTCCGCCATGTCGCTGTCGTGGTGCCTGCGGTGCCTTCGGCAGTGTCCCGAGTCAAGGCATGCAACAAAAAGCGAATGAAGCGGAACGGCTGACGTGCCTGTGTGTGGCCGCCCAATCGCCTATGTTGCACCATCATTTGTCCCCCAGCCTCTCAAGTTCAAGGTGTGGCCTTGAGCGCCTGTGAGGTAGGCCACCGGCGCGGCCCGCAACTCACCGATGTCAGACTGTGGCCTGCGTCGCATTACCATTACCATTACGGGCTACAGGGGCGGGTCGGGCCACCGTCTTCGCACTGGTGTACTGCGGGCCGGGTTGGTGCCCTACCTCGCAGGCGCCAAAGGTGCCACAGAGCGGGCTGTTGTTGCTCCTCCCGTAGATGGCTGGACCACGAATGATCGTATGCCTTCGGTCCTGGAATAGGAGGACGATCCCTAAGCCAGCAGCTCGGGTGGACGGCGGGCGTAGCGTTGTGGACGCCACTGTGTGTCCACAAACATGAGCGCCGTGGGGCTGGCGGAGGCAGCGGCGCCAAACTCCACAGCTTTTCATCGTTGTGTATTTGCACTAGCGCTTCTTCCGCACACGTGCGTGACTGTATACGTGCGACTTGTATAAACACTCGCAAGTTCCTGCCGAGCCATTCCTCCGTAATCCGGACAAAAAGCTCCGCGTTATGACTGCACGGCCAACGCAGTCACTTATGGCAGAGTGTTTCTCAGAAACGACATCAAACGAAACCAATTTATCGCGTCTATGATAGATTTGTACGGTGCAGCTGTGTCTTATTGACGGCGCTGTCCACTCGAGTCCTGTTGTGCGCGGTTGGGGCCGTGTTTGAGGACTGCAGAGTGTCCACTCGTGAGGCATGCCGTCGGCCCGCGGTGCGGAGACTGTGGAGTGCCGCATCGGTACGGAACGCTCGATTGCGGGGACAGTGTCAAGAGCGCGTGCGAGCTTAGCCAGTGGGCCTTCCCTCCTCCAACCGGTCGAGTCCCCAGGCCCCCATGCCCCACGCAGCCGACACCGCACTGTACGGAAAACGGCCGGACACGGAATTTTCCGTGCAAAGGACGCGTTTTCGCGACACACTATCTGCCTCGCTATCTGCCGGCCATCTCTCCTCTCGGCCGCTCGCGCGACCTCCGCGATGTCGTCCGCGATGTCGTCCTCGGAGGCTGCGAACGGGAGCAGCGGCGCAGGCGCAGTTGTTCCTCCACATATGAATTTCGCTTGGAATTTGCCGAGCTGCGCAGCGTTTTTCCTGATCTGCCAGATAGTAACAAGGCCAACAAATATAAAAAGAAATTCGCCCTGTCGCGAGCGGTCGCCAGCGAGCCAGCAGTACAAGGAAGGGGATCGTCTCCGTCGTGAGAACCTTTTTTACTGCGTCTTTTTTTTGCGGTGGGATTCTTTGGACCGTTTGGTAATAAGATCGAAAACGCCCAAACTGCCGCTGCTGCCCCAAACACGCATGGTGGCCTTCCGGTTGCTACACTGTATACGGCTCTAATGGTAGAGTACTTGCTCCGAGGATCATTTGGGGCCCAAGCTTTTTCAAGTCAAGATATGTCTCCTGGGGAATTGATACCCGCGGGACGGGCTGCGACGGGCTGTCACTGAGAAGACTAGTCACTTATCTGTGTCGCGGGCATTTGCAAGTGCGTCATACTTTCTTTCACGCATCGGGACATGTTTTCCGCAGCAGTTTACATGAGCTCCGCGGAGAACACGGATGGTCGGAACTTTTCCCGTGCCCGATTTCTCGCACAGTTTGCGTGCCAAACTTCGGAGGGTTTTTTTTTTTTTTTTTTTTTTTTGCAGTGCGGTGGTCTTGCAGGCCTTGCGACACTTTTTGGAAGGCCATCAGTATAATTTTATCAGAATTTTATTTCCAGTTTTATAAATTTTAACGGCATGTTTATCGAAGCTTGTGCGATCATGAAGAAGTTTTAAAAAGTTATAACTCAGCACTCCTCGTAAAACTTCACAATACCATTGCAAGGCTTATATAGGCCCTTGTTCTCATAAAAATACAAAAAGTCACATGTATAAATATGAAGAAAATTTCATAAGACTTTTTATACGAATTTATAAATGTTTATAAAACTCCCCAGCGACTTTATAAACTGATTCTTATCTGGGAGCAAAGTCCGGACTTTCAGCGAATTTGGTTGGCTGAACTGGCTGGGATCCGCCACACGTTAGTTGAACGTGTGCGAGAGAGACAGCGCATCTCCGGAGCTTCGGGAACGGCTCAGCGCCTTCTCGTCTGCTGGGATGAGATGGTCGCTTGGATAGGCGGACGGAGCGGCACCTCGCTTCCCCTCTCACCTACAGTGGAGCCGACGCTACGGCTCGTTCGATGGCAGAGGACCAGCAGAACCTGCCAATGGGTTGATGGTGGCTGGTCGCCCCCGAGTCAGCCAACTTAGACCGACGGTTGAATACCCAGCCAGTTTATCCAGCCAAATTCGCCTAAGTCCTGCCTCTGCTGCAAAGCCCTTACACTCACAGGGATTACATCCAGCCTCGGGACAGGTTCCCACACAGTCTGCAGAAGCAAAGAACGAACCGAGTAGCGTGCTGGAGTATGCTGGTTTGGTACTGTTGTAAGCGGGCAAAAAAAAGCCAATCAACATTTCGCTAATGGATAGCGTGTGCTCCCAGCTGCCCCAAGCTAGTTTGGCGCCAGGCGAATTCTGGATTTGAAAAACGACGAGCCTTCTCTGGCCTTGGCCGTGGCAGTGAGGGCTCGCCGTCCAGCCAGCTCCAACCAGAGCCAGACCGGCCGGCCCGGCCCGGCCCCGCCCGGCCCCTTAGCCCGGCTGGGTGGAGGCGCGTCGTCTCTTTGCTTTTTCCTGGACGCTTCAAAACTGGCGGCGAGCATTTTGCATTTTTACACACAGAACTTGTGGGGACGGGCGTCGAAGATTTTAAGAAATTCCCAGCGAATCTTTGTTGTGTGTTTATCAGGTCAGCTTTTGCGAAAGACTACTTGTCAGTGCTGTCGTCAGATATTATCCAGGTCAAATTGACCCCAGGCGCTGAGTCACATACACGGTTAAAAATCCCATTAGTTTGCAAAAAAAATTATGACAAGAAATTGGACAATATTTTTACAATACAAGAGGTGTGTTTAAAAAGGATCAATCGAGCTTGATCTATTTCATGTCGTGTATGACTTCATACATAAGAATGAGAAAACCTGTCGCGTCTAGAAACCAGTTGAAACTTCTTGGCTCGGTCTCGCAGCGCCATCTTTTTATCCCTTCACTAAAAATTTTCCGTTTTCAAATTTTCTATACATTTATATGCAACAATTCACGTGTACTCGATCTCCTCGGACGCCTCAGTTTGAAACGGAACCAATTTTATTTGTGTCTGAGTACTCTGCTGAAAATAATGATTTTTCCCTCTTGATTTCAATACATTGGTTGCACAATTCCCATACAGGAATAGAATTTATGGCTTTTTGCAGACACAAATATATTACTTTTCCTACACATTTTCGGCAAAACAATCTGGCAATTCCTGTAACGGAGCTCTAGTATTTTTTTAATGCATAGGAGATGTTTCTATATTCCACTGAACAGTAACATTCCGATTCTTTTTTAAAGTGTTGTTTCATGTTGGAAGGATGCTTTTTATTTGCTTTTCAGCCGGCAAAGTCGCCTCCACTAGAAGTGTGTACTTTGGTCCGGCGTGCTCGACAAGTTTTTTTCGGCGGTCTCGATGTTTTTGTTTTTCTTTGTCATGAAAATGCGCCCGATTTGTCACTGAACCGGCATCTTAATCTTTTAATTATTTCTTTTAAAATAAAACAAAGGAGCCGTCTGCCAAAACAAAACCCGAGCGATACTTCTGACTGTTTGAGATGAAGGGGGTTACTAAACTGTAATCAAGCCTGCGACGCGAGAGAGAAAGATGAAGGGAAACTGGTTGCGCTCATCTCTTTGCATGGAGATGCGGAAAAACATAAAAGAGATTGCGGTGCAGCCCTGTCGCTCACTCGGGCACTCTGCGGGCTGGCCGGGCCGACCGGGCCGGACGGGCAGGGCGGCCAACATGTCAGGTACAGGCCGGTCCTGGAGCGTTGGGCTTGCCTTGGCCTTGGGCCGAGTGGCAGTGACCTCACTCAAAGTCACTGCACTGGGATGCACTTCACGTTATTGTTGTCACTGGTGAAATTGAGCATGACGCTCGAAAACTTCACACTTGAAGTCAAGCGCGCATAAAGAAGAAATTCTATCATGCTTTTAGACAGGCGGGTGAGGAGTGGAATGGCTAAATAGACCTACTCCTAAGCCCGCCGATTACATGGGCGCTTAACCTTTTTCTTTCAGTTGTTTCTTTAAAGCAGTTGGCACCTCTAGGTTGTGGGAGGTGTCGGGCAGGTCG